ACGAGCAATAAAATGGGATAATTATGGATCGGTTTGTTTGTTCATAGCCCACAGCATGACGCTTTCCGTTGAGAATCACCCAGACACTGCAAGATATGATATAAAGTAACATTTAAAAAAATATTATTATTTATCAAGCAATGTATTCAAGCCGCATACATTTCTGGAATGGATCGTGGCCCATGAACGAGACGGGCGGGAGAAGCCAAATGAGAGACCCACGTGACTCTCGTTTGACGATCGCTCGCTCGATGTGGAAGCCGTGAGAACCAATTAGTGTTGCAGGAGGAGGAGCGTGATGGATTGTGGCAACGCAGGACCACGGCAGGCTGTGATCACATGGGGGGGGCTTCAACCAGCAGTGGATAGACAACGATAAAAGTATACAAATCAACATCCACTTTAAATGGCAACAGCAATTGTCCTGTGGCTTAAAAAAAATCACCTGGCTCAGTGTTGCAATTGGGTAGGAGCACTGTGCCCCCATTGTCATTGGACCGGGAAACACCACTTTGGCTTTTCAAGACTTGATTTTACAAATTTGGGTCTAGACATTCTGGCTTATGTAAAAAAATTACGCAAAACATTCACATGGGAATGATAGAGACACTTTTTAACAGTGTTACGACACCAAGTGAATACGCCTGCTGCCACAAACACTGCTTCGGCAGTGTTATCTTTGTGTGAATTCACGTGCGTTTATGTTACCGGTTTTGGTCCGTGTAAGCTCCATATTTTAAATCTACCATTTTTTCTGGCACCTTTTGCTCTCGCGTTATATTTGCACCGTTTCTTTTTAATTGGCGCGCGTCTCGTTTACGACCATTAAACCGCCTCGTTTGTCAGTTGTGAAATATCCTGTAAGTACCCCCCCGTGCTCATTCTCTTCAGCGTTGTTAATGCGCCATTTTATTGAGGGGCTACGGTGGTCTGGCACTTTTGCTGCCTTGCCCAAAGCTTGACAATCACAATGTATAATTAATTACTTTTTTATTTTGTGACTTGCTCACGTTCTATATTTTGCACTCCTATGGTATTGTTCTTGTCTTGCTTGCCGTTGCAACTTGCCGAAACTGCCCATACCTGGACATTCTTGAAAAAGAGCTTAATATTTTAGCGCAGATTCCTCCTCCCAGTCCAAATAAATATTACGATTTCTGAACATTTACGTTTTTTGTTCGTCTTCGTTTAAGCCGTTCGCTGCCGTGCTCGCGCAGCACCGCAGATCTCGGTCTTGGAGAAACAAAGAAAAAAAACCCAGCCGGGCAAATTTGCCGAAAAACGGGATCATCCCAGCGTAACACAAAATTAAAAATACAACTAAAAAATCTAAGAATAGACGTAGAGCACGCACATTAATTACAATGACACCCCGGAGCCTTCTCCTGCAGTAAAGAGCGCGAGAGGGATTCTGTTTGGGGCGACGCGTAAAAAAAAAACGCAATGGGGTCAACCACGGTAAGAGGATTTGCCCGCCTTGCAGAGTTCATCCCTCGCCGCGGCGAGGTTTCAAGGACAGACTGTGACTGCGCCGTTGAGCAGAAAACCATTTGAGCTCAAAACTATTTTTACAATCTTTTATTTTTCCACGTAAGGCCCACGGAGCTAAATAGCTTCTTTTTTTAAGTGACCTGGCCACAAATGACAGCTCAACAATGTGGCTTATCGTGCGAACATAAAAGAAGCACCCAAATACACTAGACGGATGCGGATTCAAAATGTGGAAGGGTAAAAAAAACGGAGGATCCAGAGAAAAACCTATGCGACCACGGGGAGAGAACATGCCAACTCCAAATATACACACGCGTTAGGATCGGGATTGAAATCTGCGCCCTCCTGTATACCAGGCGAGGTAGTTAACATCCCACCACCGTGGCACCCCTTAGTTGGGAGTAATGTAGCCGTGATGTAACCATCAGCCTCACACGAAACCTTCTGGGGATGAAGCCAAAGTTCAGTTTCATGGATTCGGCACGAATTAGGATTTGGCGTCGAGGTGAGTGTCGCAACAGAGCAAAATGTTACGCGCTGCCCATAATTGAAAGTTGTCACTAAAAAGTCGCACGGAGAGCCCATGTCTATCACACGCTAGGCCACTTCATTTCGGTCGTATTCTCCGGCCAGACCAAATATTTACAATCTATTTCATAATCCGTTCAACATCCGGTGTATCTTGATACAAGACAAAATGGGCTTCCTACGAGAGACACCACAATTTTAATTGGTAACGTTTAAAAAAAAAATGCGACCGCGTCTCAAAAGCTGTGCACGAAAAGACGAATGCGTTAAAAATTGTGGGGAAGAGGAGGAGGGGGGGGGGGTCTAAAGGGTGAAGGGGGAGAGTTAGCAAGGAGGTTATGAGAGTGGAGGATTTCTGTACTAAAAAAAAAGCTGATTGTAAAGATGGAAACATATGGTGGAGGACGAAGCTCTTTAGCCTGGACTTTGACAGAGATTGTCATAATCTCCAGCCCCCCCCCGACCCCCACGACTAAACATGCAATTTTGGGCCAACACTGGCATGTGGCTGAAACCGTTGGACCAATGTTGGGCCACCATTCTACGTTTACTGGGTCACTGAGCTCCACCGTCAGTGAATCATGCCACCACCATCTGTGCGCCGATGCCGCTTCCATAGCGACGGCTCTTCAGGGCTTGCGACTCTCCTTAAATGCGGGCCCACGCACACCCGAGCGTTTCAGGTGGATTTTTTTTTATCTTGGCGAGAGGACTCGGGCGACAAGGACCCTGATTCACCAAAAAATAAAAGTAAATCATGTCAAAACCAAGTACAACATCGAAGTAAATACAACCACAATCGCTGGCATGCAAGTGTAACAAGCAAAACATTTGACCGTATGCAACCGGACAACATCCACATAAGCAAGACAATAAGGAACGTAATTGAGAGCGATTTGTGTGCCTCACAGATCACTCATCTCAACCCGGCAGAAGGCAACAATACAAGTGGAAAACTTTGGGACATCGGTGCCACCCATAACCATCACCTGCAATGCAGTTATGAGCATCAGCTATAGCACACTGGACCAGCAAATGGCTCGAGGTAGTTCTGTCTAGTCGATGAAATCAGACCGTTTTCACCAACAGTGATTTGGTCTACAGAGCACACACACAAGCTTACGGGAGTCACAAATTAACCACAATAGCTTGCCGATCTCGTCAAGGTGCATAAACCATCCAACAAAAGACGGTCACCCGCCCCCACGTGCTCGGAACTATTCTACACAACCCGCAAAACATTAAAATCGGTACAGCCAGACGGCACGACAGTCGAAACCTACGCAGCTGCAGAACAACACTTTAGGAGGTTGGCGCCGCTTTGTGTTGGGAGCGAAAAGCAAAGTTCCTTGATGCAAGTTGCCCGGTCAGACCGAGGCACTATCTGGAGGGGGCTTGTGGCTTCGTTTTGCGAGCAGCAAGCAGCGAGATTCCAAATGGCTTTTATGGTCGCCCGCCTGCCCACGGGACCCAATGCGCAGGTGGGATAGCAAGCAGTTCACCCGTCACGCGGTGAGCATCACCCCCAGTATCAGAGTGAGAAAGTGCCGTGTTGGGCGAGGGTATGCGAGGTGCCGCCGTGGCGAGATGTTAACTGCCTCGCCTGGTATACAGGAGGTTGTGGGTTTGATACCGATCCTGACACTTGTAGATTTGAAGTTCACAAGTTTTTTTGTTACCGTGGTTATGTGGATTTTTCTCCAGGTCCTGCAGTTTTTTCACCTCCACAATTAGTAACAGTACACGTTTATCAAGAGGATTTGGCGGCTATAAATTTCTACGTGATAAGCCACTTCATTGAGCTACGATTTGTGGCCAGGTCTCGATTGAAAAGCGAGCTACATGGCTCAGTGGGCCTTACCCGTGTGAAATAAAATAGTTTCGTAGTTAATGTAATTGCGGTGGCGATGCTGTAGGCGATGACAACACCGACACTTTGAATTACTGGCCTGAAAAGCCAATAGGCTGATAAGAAAAGTCTATTGACGCGAGCCGCATTCTAAAAAGTGCGCGCCTCTCCTCGGTCTAGACGCCCGTCCCATGCCTGCCCACGGGGGACCCATCACGCACAGCGTGCCAGCCACTGCGCCGCCACTGCCTTCGAGCCGTCGCTGGAAGGTGACGCTCGGCACACACAAAAGACACCCGCAGTGCTAACCTGAGACTCGCAATATACCCCATTGTCCGATCTGAGAAGACAAGCGAGGCGGAGCCAGGATGGTGCTTGCATCACCGACCGCCATGTAAACCCCAGGTGTTATAGGCTGCGAGCGGCAGATGTCAGTGCAGCAAAGTCCATTGTCGTACTGCACTTGTATGCTGCTCCCACGTCTTACACAGTAGTCCCCTCGGGTTAACGTGTTTAATCTGATCCACAAAAGCTAAATGTTACACTTCCAAAACAGAAAACAATGTAAACCAAGCCAGTTGAGATCTAAACACTAATAAACGGACATCGCCGATTGGCTAAGACATGCCCAGTGCCACTTACGAGTACTCCGATTGGTTGAAATTGGCAACCGCGTGCATAACGTAAACATGTCGTTCAAATGTTAACGTTCGTCGAAACCATGGGGGGTCCCCCTATGGGAGACGAAACGTTAACGGAAAAACCGCTAACCGCGGGACTAGTGTGCTCCGTGTCTTTACAAAAAGACCCACACGCTGACCAGTATGGCGAAGTAGCGATCGAATAACTCGCACAACAGTGGACTGACAAAACGGCTGTACGCTACGCACACAAAAACTGAAGTTTAAAAGACGATGCATGTGCTTGCCCCCTTCATATCGTAGGGAACACACCCCACAGACCCCTGTGCGGCAACCAAGTTTTTGGGCACCAGGATCAGTAGGAAACGGGGAGAGAAAAATGCACACGAACGCAGAGTTGTCAATTTCTCTCCGGTGAGAGAGAGAGAGAGCGAGACCTCGGTCGTGCCGAGGTGGGTGGAGGAGGGGGAGGGGCACACGGCCAGACTCACCCGGATCATCTGTGCGACGTAGCTCTCGGGCCCCGTGTACTCAGTGGGGTCCTTCACCTTGATGAGCACGATGAAGTAGAGGTAATTCCACATGTTGTGCTCCACCTTGATGTGCTCCTCGAACGACACCGTCTTGTTGTCGAACTTGTCCCTCTCCAGGCCTGCGGTCAAAAAGAGGCGGGGGAGGGGGGGGGGAGTTCAACTTGTGAAGCAACGCGTTTGCTGGGTGGCGTTGGTGGATCATGAAAATCATCGTTGACTCACCCCAGCCTACCTCTTCCACTTTTAGACCACTACACTTCCTCCAGCCCATCACTGCTCGCTCTCTCTGCCTCTCGTCTCGCTCAAATCCCCTCCACATTCCCCCCAAACCCTCTCCCTCGATTCCCCTCCAGCACGTGATTATTGCTCGCTCGTGATATCACCGCACCTCCGATTAGCGCGGTAGGCTAGGTACGGTGCGCGAAAGAGGTTCACACACATCACTGCAAAGGTAGCTGCCATGCATTTTAATACAGGAATGCCGTCACGTTACGAGCGTCCCTGACCTTCATAAAAAAATATATTTTATTTATTCGATAATTAAGCTTAACACTCGCTTCAAAACAGCCCCAAGCGCACAGTACACGCAAATCTCGTCAAAAGCTATTGGTTTCCATTGGCACTGCATCTCCCTATAAAAATAAGTTGGGGCTCGGCATCGCCGCCGTCTGCTCCGATGGCTCGGTGGAAACACGATAGGACTTTGGCCAAAGGTTGCGAATTAAAATCCCGGTAGGAGGTCGAATCTGCTCCATCTCCCCAGCATGAGCAAAATAAAGTGTGGGCTTATCTATATTCGCTCTGCTGTGGAGCGTCTCTCGCCCCCCACCATAGCAATGTGCAATTTCCACGAATGGCTCCAGAGTAGTGGCAAGCGGGGAGTGCCGTTGCACCGTTAATGCAGAGCGCGAAACCAATTCGTCTTCCATTCCAAGCGGCATCTCAATCCGGGTTTCTGCTGCCTGCCGGTTCATTTGGACGACATTGCCGAGGGTCGCCGAGTGTCACAGTGCGAGCGCGTGCCGACCGCTGCACCGACGCTCTCCGCCTGGGGATGCCGCGGGGCGATGGCTACCGCAGATGAAGCAGGTGGTCTTGAGCACCTCCTCCTTCTTCTGCTTCTCGCTCCTGAGGTCGGCGAACGTGTCGATGATGACCCCAAAGATGAGGTTCAAGACGATGATGATGACGATGAAGAAGAAGAGAAGGTCGTAGATGACTCTGGCGACGAACAGCGGCTCCTAGGCGGCACATGTGCGCAAACCGGGGGGGGACACGAGCGCACGTCGTTACGCGATGCTCCGGTCGAGACTCGCAGCCGAACGGTCTTCAAGGGCAGAGTACCCAAGAGCCTTTGTATCGTATGGATGGATGGCTGTTGAACTTCGATGGCACCGTACACGAAGACAACCGCGATAAATCGGGAAGTGCGGGGGGTAAGGACAAGCCAAAAACACACAATGCAGTTAGTTCTCTACTGTGTGTGCTGCAAAGTCTACGCTCCCACCACCAAACCACAGTGAGCAACGTGGTCAAGTATGGCGACACAACCTCTCATAACCGACATGGTCCACTGCTGGATTAAAACCGTCCCCGCACCGACACTTTATGATGATGTCAAGTATAATAAGCTTATTGTGAGGTTCACGAGACATGGGTGCGTGTGACAAGTGCATGCATATTGACTGAAGAATGCATTTCGAGCATGGCATAAGTGTAGACTCATTGCAAGGTGCCTTGGGGGAGTAGTTGTTTAAACATGGAAGGTGGAATGTTTCTGCCAACTATTACTCCCGTCGTTATTGCCGAAACGTGTCTGAATAAGGATTTACATCAACTACATCCACAAAACGTACGTTGCAAATCAGAGCAAGCTAAACAATAGTTAAGTATTTATTGACAAGGGACTCTCAAAGTCTCAAGACGCTTCACGGGTGCCAGTGTGGCCGAATGACGCTTCGTCAACGTGCCTGAGAAAATGAGAATACCCGCGCGCACGGAGGTAGGCACGTAGACAATCTGTAGATTTGGGTCAAAGATGCCACGGAGTCCCACCTGCTGCAGCTGACTTTAAAGTCATTCAGGCAGGTGCGTCTCACTCCCATTCTTTGCAAAAAAAAAAAATCTCAGAATGAACGACCAACGCTGCTTTCAGTTTAAACACGTAGGCTTCGTTAAAGGGTTCGTCTGTCAATACACCCGCCCACAATAATACGAGGACACCGCATGTATATTTTGGAAAGCGGTTCTTGTGGACTTGTACGGATGTTGAAATTCTTGTGGCTTACGTAGCCAACCGTGTCAACTCGGAGCTATGCCACAGACACCTACAAGGACCGAAATTATTTAAAAACCACACGAAAATATCGCGCGTCCAGGGCAGGCAGCGTGGAACAAACTACTCTGGAACTCGAGAGCTCCATTCAGTGGAGGCCCTTCCATCAGCAGTGGTGTAAGCGAGCAATTGCAGGGCTGCACCTTTACCCTTTGACATATCTTGGAAAGTGCGGTTCAGGTAGACTTAAAAATATTAAAACTACAGGCAGACACTCCAAGCCGGTCCATTTTTGCCAAATCGTAAACACTCCACTAAATCACAGCGTAACAACGCTTCGGTAAAACCTATGAGTCCCATTCATCATTGAGAAATGTCTTTCCCCCCACCCCCTCCAACGATCTATGGTGTGTACAAACAATTTGCTCGCCACAAAGGAGTACGAGCAAAAATGGAATCTCCCCCACCACCACCACCACACCTTCCAAAAGTGCTAATGTGCAACACGCATGCCAAGATCTGCAGCAGCAGCCGTGTGCATTTTTCAGGCGTGGAAATTGAAACAATTTTATTTGAGATTTTTGCGGCGGCAACGGCGCCCGTACTCAGTGTTCCCACAGGTCAGTGCCAATATTGTCGCACATCTGTGAAAACACACGCCGCCCCCCCACCCCCGCCTGACACGTGCTCATCGCTTCTAGCCGCACGCTTGCCCCATCCCCATCTATCGCATCTGACGTTGTTCAGGAGAGAGAGAGAGAGAGGAAAGAAAAAAAATTAATTGAGAACGCGCGACGGCCCGACCATAACCCCCTCCCCGTCAAGAATCGTTTTTACTTACATCACACCCCCCCCCCCCACATCGTGTGTGGCCACGGCAGAAGTAGGACACCGCAAAGCAGTGTGGGGTAACACGTGCCTAGTCAAACGTGGCCACGTGGTCACCTCACGGCTAACAGGGACACGCAAGGCGGTGGGGGAACCAGAAGCGCAACCACAAACCCCCAAGGTCAAACACCGACACGATTGCGAACACGCAGCTCTATCGCGCACGCCAGCTGAGACGACACGCGCGTACAAAGCGTTGCGCGTTCCTAAAAAAAGAAGACGGATTGATCACGGCTGACGGCGATGATGACGAGCACGTGCCCACGTGCGCGTTTATAAAAATCGCGCGCGTGCGCGTCGCGAGCGTGCCTGCTTTGACGGTTGCCGCAGGACGTCTCCGACGCCGCCGCCATTGCGTAGGCCCTGGTTCAGCACCGTCACGATGCACATGAGCAGCGTGTCGCACGTCCGCTCCACGGCAGTGTCGTCGCTCTTCCTGTCCTCTTTCGCTGAGAGGAGACAAGATACACGTCGCCTTCATTGGGCCGTTGGGAGCAAGTGCCGTAAGCGGGCACCAATAGAGGCTGGCACGGCGTTACGAGGGGGTGGGTGGGTGGGTGGTGTGGCCAGGTCAAAGTATCATGCTTGGCCGCATTTGCGTCCCCCACCCTGAACCACCCCCGGTACTGATGTTTACACCGCATCAAGTACTCGTTTAAAAAGGTCGAGACGGCTTCGTACAGGCCCAGAACCGGTTCTTAAAAATCACTCGGCTACGAACGAGAATTCAGCTCGGATGACTGGAATTGTAGGGCAGCGTGTTGACCAGTGCACCACCAACCATTCCATCCAGATTGCATGAACACATAGTGCACCAGATCAAACTTGTGGTCTGGCCCAATATCATACCTTTGGCTATTTTTTCTTACCATACTCTCAAGACTTGTTTACGCTGGGGTGAGATTTGTATTTTGTTTTCATATATATTTAAATCATAAGCCAAGTGTGCTATCAGTTAAGATGCAAAGCAACAAAATGTTCTTGTGCAACTTCATCAATCAGTACCACATGACGCGATGCCCACACCGTGACATCCGACGGCTTGTGCCAAAAACCGTCCCTAGAATGGCAAACGTGTTCTCATGCATTGCATACAGAGTCCATCAGCCCCGTTAACAACAATTGAAGCCAACAACCAAATAAAACAACATTTCCGCAGCCTAGCTCATCAGTAAGCGCCAAACTACAAACATTTTCCTAGAAACAAAATCTCCCTGAACAGTGCCCATTCTCATAAGATCTTAAAAAGCTAAACAGGATTGAGCCCCATTGCCTGGGATGGTAAGCTGCCTGGGAATACCGGGGAGTTTTAATGTAGTTAAAGGCTGGAATGTGACTGGGAAGCTTGGCAGTTACAGCAAGGGGTGTTAAAACCAAGGCTCAAATTTTGCTTGGGCGTCCGATATCCGATAAGATCGAGCGCATTCCTGGTAATTTGGCCACAGGCCCTCCTTCCTCGTGACAACTCCAATAACACTACTACCACAAATAATATATTTTTAAAAATATATCCATGAGATAAAATGTCCTGCAGGGATGTGGCTTCAGCGATGTCGGTATGCGTTTAAGCTCGGATTGCACTTGACGGGCCAAGACAATGCGCGGAGGATATCCAGGATTACTTATTGCTTCCGCAGGAATGCTTAAAGCTCAATATATTTATATATTCCTATAGCCACCCCCCCGGTTGGTGTAAACAATGGCTTTGGTGGGTGGTGTTGGACGGTACCCCCGTGCAGCGGATCACCGTAGAGATGGTCCCGGGTCGTGTCCGAACAGTTCCCGCTGTCCGAGTCACAGAAGTCACTCTCTAGAGATAATACAGTGGGGGGGGGGGGGGGGGGGGGGGGGGGACAGGACAAACAATTCAGTCGCTCCACTCCAGCAAACAAAAACGATAACAAGGCCTTTGTATTTCGATTTAAAGCTTTCGTGACTGCAGGGATTCATCTTCTTGGTTCTTTCGCTAAAGTCACGTAGAAGGGAAATAATAAAATAATTAAAATAAAACATAAATACAATTCTCACGACGTTTCGGCCACAACGCAAGCAGCCGTCCCCTCAGGTGAAGAACAGGTCTGCCGGAAAGACAGCACCACCAGGCTTGGCAGCGTATATTTAAGCTGGGTTGGAGGGGGAAGGGCACCTTGACACAGGAATTTGCATATCAAGATGAATTTAGCATATTTATGGGAAATGCAGATATGGGATTAGTCACTACTTGTGGAATGCGTAGGAGGTAGGGGGGGTCTCAAAGTCATATTATGCCCGTGCATTATCCAGGATTAGCAGCATCAAAGGGAGGGAGTAGGGTTAGCAGTAATAGAGGGAAGGAATTTTAATAGTATGGAGCTGCAGCAGCTAAACCACCACGTAAAAAACTAAAATATAAACTACATCTGTATCATCAATATACTAAATATACTCTCCAATAAGCTGAGCTACTAACAGTAAGTCATACATTACAATTGTATGTCGCAAAAAATATAATATGCCTCCAGCTAAACTTTTTTCTCTTACATCACACGGGTCTAACCCGTACTATATACTGCCATAGACAAACCCAACATTAAATTATATACTGTATTACTATACACCACCTTATACCTTAAACTATACATTGTAATATTACACTATGTATTATTCTACCCACCCTACTGTATACCACAATAGACGAGCTCAGCCTCCCCCCCCCCCTCTGATTGCACAACCCCTCAAACTGGATGGAGCGCGTGCCTGTTATCATCTCTCGGTATGTCACCAATGTAATGATTACATACATGGTCACATTGGTGACATTTTCACTATAAAAACCATTGGAATCACAGAAAAGACATTTATAACAAAGATAAGTGAAAAATCTTGAAATTTTTTTTAACTTTTTTTACTTTTCGTAACAGCTATTTTCATTGGAGTATGACAGGTGAGGCCCTGCCCCCCCCCCCTGCCTCCCCCTGCCTCCCCCTGCCTCCACATCCCTGGTCAAAGCACAACAGTTAAATCCTCTGGAATGGCAGAGATCAGGTCTAAAACACCCACAATGCACTGCAGCCTATAGTTGGGAGGCATGCTCGCATCACCATGGAGTACAGCATCACCAGCAGCAGCAGCAGCCTTATTTGTCCAAGACGACACTGGAAAATCCACGTGCACAAGGTAAAATAAATAGAATCGCGATAGCTGTGGGCGAGCAGGAAAAGCGAGAGCCATGGTCAAGTGAAACCCAACACACACACACACACACAGACACGGCCATTAATTTAATGTTAATTCTCACCGCAGCCTGCCGCTGCTGCTGCCAGGTGAGAATTAGGTCATAGGTGGGGGGGGGGGGCGCGAGCGATAACATGATGGCGACCTTCTCAGATTACTCCGTCCCGATCCTGGCACGCTGCGGGGGGCGAGGGAGAGAACATTTTTTGCTCAGACGTCTGGTGGAGACGGCGGAGTGTCGCGTACCCCGAGAGTCGACGGTCAGCGCCGGCAGGCGGTCGACCTCCATGACAAAGTCGTCCTTGAGGAAGAGGAAGCCGACGATGGAGAAGAGGTAGACGAGGATGAGCGCGAGCACGGCGGTGAGCACGATGGAGCGGCCGTTGCGCGTCACGCTCTTGATCACGTTGAGCAGAGTCTCCTCGCGGTACACCAGGTCAAAGAGCTGCCCGCGGCAAGGGGCAGTTTAAAACAGAAGGGGGGGGGGAAGGAATCATTCAGCGTTGTTAGTGAAAGAAAATAAGATGTGTCATGAGCACTGTTAATTGTGGCAAAGGAGCAGCGTAGACATTCGAGCGTGTAGGCGGTGCAACTGCTTCGGCACCAATGAACCCCCCCCTCCCCATGTCATTCTCCGCACCAGTGGAAATGCCAACCACGCCACTGCTAAATTGTGGGGTGGACGAAAATCGATTTATATTATCGTTTATGTAAATTTTACTTGTGGGCTAATCGGGAGACAATGACAAGGGGCAGATATCGCAAGAGAGCCGAACGGAGCAACAGGAAATCAACTCTTGAATAGAACTTTCGAAAATGGCAGGAGCCGAGGTGAATAGTCGAGTTTAATTCCCACAACGATAAATGACGATTGTCCGCTTACCCAGGAAGAGTCCATGAAGGGCAAGAGACATTTTTTTACAAGAGCCTCAATTCACGATCTAAATCCAATTTTCTAGGTTTTTGTTTGCGTGTGGGAGGAAACTGGATTACCTGGGGAACACCCACACAACTGGAGAGAGAACTTAAAATGTTCTACACAGACATGTGCTCATAAAAAACATATACCGCTTCCTATACAAATCTTATGGAATCGCTATTGGAGGAGAGGGTGAACAGCTTCATGCCTAACGGCAAACGAAGAAACATTTTCACTTCAGCGTCATGTCGTCTAAAAATTGTACAAATATTCATAGGATGGCAAAATGCTACGTAGAAATGGAGATGGCATAGTGGTGCAGCAGCAGCGATTTTGCGAGTTTAACGATTCCTGTGCACGGCTAACATCAGAGGCAGATCGATACCCCGAGAATTGGTGGGTCCTTGGCCTCAGCTTTTTCAAGCTGCTCAAACAACCCCCACCAAATCAGACGCGGTGTTAGAGGAGGCCTTCATTTCAGCAGTGGATTGACATTGGGCTCCCATGAATTAATGTGCGAGATTTTTGATTTACGTTTACTCAACTATTCAAGGAGGAACAAAATCATTTTGTCAGCCGTGAACTTTAATAATTGTACATTGGATTCAATTTCCCTTTGCCCGCTTTATGAACGGAATTATATTTTGCAATCTCCAGTTGTGGCAAACTCTATGTAGAGTTTTTTTTTTAAAGGATTCGTTTGTCCACCCCTGATATAAAACAATCACCAACTACCGGCACCGTACCCAGAACATTGCTTATTACACAAGTCAATCGTGTAACTTTTAAGTCAAACAAAAAAATGCAGGTGTTTAAATGTATTTTTTTTCTCTCTTTTGGCAGGCCAAGATGATTTCAGGTTTGTTCAACGAGCGACATTTAATGTTCCCAGATAAATTGCTTCCGTAATGATTTCACAAGAACATTGGTTTGGGAAGTCACGAAACACCACGTGCAACGTTTGCTCCTTTCATTTGAAACTAATCAGAATTCTAAGGTGGTGATGTAGGATTAGCACCAGCGCAAGACGAGCATTCAATGAAAAACAACAGAGTACACCGTGTCACTTCGGAGCATTCGTGCGGGCACCAATGCGAAAGTCACGTGCCCGCTAAATGGCAATGCAAGCATGCGCCAAGTCATATCGTTGAAAGGCTTCAACAACTTGCCATGGTAAACAAACATTCGTCATCAGGTGGTGCGCTGAACCTGGGTGGAAAACTCAAGTGGCTAACAGAGACCAAGTGCTGCCCCCTGCCAGAGTTCAAACTTCCCCTTTTCTTTGGAAAAAAAAAGTCCAAGAAAGGGTCACACCTCTCAAACCTTTTTCAACATCCTCTCCCTTCAGGGACTCCATGAAGGTCAAGCACTTTGACAATCCACTGCTGGATGGATGAAAGCCTCTCCTCGTATTGTGCTGGTCATGAGGGTGTGGGTTTGTTTGCCCACAAAACTTCACCATGAAGAAAGGTGGCCAGGACAGATTCAGGTATCGCGTGCCACCGATTCTAGCCATGGCTGGGAATAAAGCCGTAGAAAAAAAAGTCGTCGCGATTGCTGCTCATTATAAATGTGCATTGCATTCTTAAGTGTGTACCGATTCTCGAAAAATCTAAACCCCATCTCAAAGCTCCAGTCCATTTTCCTTTAAGCACACAGTTGAGTCCCCCAATGCCCCCCCCCGACCCCGTTATTTCCGTGACGCAGAGCCAACAGCCGCACCCCCCCCCCCCCCCCGCAACAAGGTGCGGAATTCCGATCGCATTGACGCGAATTTCCAATGGTCGTGCCACTTGTCGAAAACACCAAATGGCGCATTCATTTACGTTACGGATTGTTCTTCTGCGTTAACCGCCAATTGCCAAGCTAGATAAAAAACTACTGTGGTACCGCGATTATTTATAAAAATGGACAAACAATTATGAATACGAAACTGCATGCCACCAACAGGTCCCTAGGGTGGTAGAGATCTCACAAAATGCTCGTACCAGCCTACACTGCAGTCTGCCGTGCGGTGCCCTCGTTGCACAAGTCGGGCATGCTCACCTACATCCACCACGAAGCATGCACAAAACTAAAACAAACTAGCAAGCCAGTCCATTAAAAGTGCCTCCGTGCAGTTAGCGAGATTTGATCGTCACATGTGAAGGGCCGGAAATGTATTTTTAAAAACGTACGAACTCATTTTTTTTTCAACATACGAAGAACATTAATGCAAAAAAATCGAGTGCAAAGTCGCCACTCGCACTGACAACCAAGGTCAGAGCTTGCCCCGTTTTCCATCGGTCTACCGCGCACTCGGCTAGCGGTGGTGACCCTGCACCTCGCACCGAGCTCGCATTTGAAGGAATTGGAATGCGAGCTAGAGACGAGCGAGATGAGAGGGTGCGAGGAGCACGCGTGGAAGGAATGCGGGAAAGCCGTGGGCAGGGAGACGGTGGGCTGACCAGCAGGCTGTAGAAGAACTCGTGCATGACGAGCCCCAGAGCGCAGATGATGAGGTAGGAGAGGTGAAAGAGGAACTCCACGTCCATCACCATCGCTTGGTAACCGTGGGTGAAGGTTCCCTTGTTTCCCACGAAGCTCACCAGGAACACGACCTTGTTCAGAACCTGCGCGCACACACGCGCAAATATTCCACCGTATAGCCACACAGACTTAACGCGTAGGCTTTCGCGACCAATATCATCCATAGAGGTTTTTTCAGGGTTAGATCGTGATCTACCCCCAAAAAACCTCTATTATGCCATACAGACTGTTGGACACCTATTAAGACTGGCATAGCACATGTTATGGCGGATGCGGCCAGCACCAGTGCCTGGCCCGCCTTTGGATCCCCAGCGTCAATGTTAATACGCTGCACTCGGTACTCATTTTGATGCTGAATATACCGTGGGGGGAAAAGGCCAAAACAAGTTTTGATACCACTCAATACCGATATTAGCTATGGCGAACCCTGACAGGGCATGGCATTTGTGCGCGACGCGGAATACTGCAATCTTCATCTCGATAACCTGTGGAAGTTCAACGTGGCACGCTCTAAAATAAATTATGAGCGGGGCTGTGTAAATCTTTGGGGCTGCTCATACATTAACATGGCAATAGCCAGCACAAGGCGATTTAGTTATGTAGGGAAGTCCGCGTCTCAAGTCCTCATCGTTGCCAAATGCTGTTCTCAATCTAATCACCTCCCAGCTCTTAACACGGACCACAAAATCCATGCCAAAAACACGAATTGCTTCCCACGACCTCTGCAGCCACTAGAGGCACAATGATGCACTGAAATGTAAAAAAACTAAAATATTATTATTGCACCACATTTGTGACTGCAAATGGGAGGTAAAAAAATATCATTACAATAAATTAACATGGCAACATCAAGTATTAATTCACCTCGCAGCATCACGTCCACACCTCCGATTATCGCTGTTGGCCATGTACGGTGCTAAAGAAGTTCAACATACATACGTCCTCTTCCATAGAAATCGTCAACGTAAATATTAGTCGACCACAGTTCCCGAATTCAGTGTCGCGACCCACTTCCCAGCGGTCGGTGGGGGCCCTGGCCGTGCTCACGTTGGCGGTGCCCAGCAGGATGAGAATGGGCTGGCAGCCGACGGAGAAGATCAGGCGGAGGATGACGACGACGACCAAGGCGCGGACGGAGTGAGGCCTTGGCAGGAGTACCACGAGCATCAGCACAACCAGCACGGCCAGCCACAGCAGCCTGGACAGGCTCAATGGCAAAGTACCTTCACCAAAGAGAAAGATTGCCCCGTATAGCCTTAGACTGTTGGGGAAAGCACCTATACAGCGAGGGGGAAAAACGTATTTGATCCCCTGATGATTTTGTACGTTTGCCCACACTGAGAAATGATCAGTCAATAATTTTAATGGTAGTGAGAGACAGAATAACAACAAAAAATCCAGAAAAACGCATGTAAAAAATGTTATAAATTGATTTGCATTTTAATGAGGGAAATAAGTATTTGACCCCTCTGCAAAACATGACTTGGTACTTGGTGGCAATCACAGAGGTCAGACGTTTCTTGTAGTTGGCCACCAGGTTTGCACACATCTCAGGAGGGATTTTGTCCCACTCCTCTTTGCAGATCTTCTCCAAGTCATTAAGATTTCGAGGCTGACGTTTGGCAACTCGAACTTTCAGCTCCCTCCACAGATTTTCTATGGAATTAAGGTCTGGAGACTGGCTAGGCCACTCCAGGACCTTAATGTGCTTCTTCTTGAGCCACTCCTTTGTTGCCTTGGCTGTGTGTTTTGGGTCATTGTCATGCTGGTATACCCATCCACGACCCATTTTCAATGCCCTGGCTGAGGGAAGGAGGTTCTCACCCAAGATTTGACGGTACATGGCCTCGTCCATCGTCCCTTTCATGCAGTGAAGTTGGCAAACGTACAAAATCAGCAGAGGATCAAATACTTTTTTCCCTCACTGTATGAAGGCCGGCACGGCACACGAAGGGGTGGGTGTCCAGCACCACGCTCGACCACCTTTGTCTCCCCAGTGGCGATGTTTTACACACTGCACCAGGTACTCATTTGAGGACGAGTCGACCTAGGGGAGGCCCAGGACTGGCTAAGAGAATCGCCACTGGTTTTGACCGTGACTGGGAATCGAACTCGGGTCACAGGGGTTCGTAGCACAGCGCGCTAACCGTGACACTACCACTACCACACACAGAGGCAGCTCTTAATATATAACAATGAGCGTTTTCCCTCCACGTTTAACTTCGACTTATCAGGTTAATTTATCCTGGAGAAACCCAATGAGCTCTGAAGCTCGACAGATGTCCAGCCATTGTTTCAGCGTCGTGTCAAGAGACGAGTCGTCAGCGGTTCGGATCGTCTGACGAAGCGGCGCAGAGCGGCGAATATCGCACGGAGTTACCTCCGATCCCTTCAAGCAGTCTGGGCCACACATTACGCGGCAACAGTTCCCCACCTGCTCTGCAACACATTACGGTCAAATAGATATTTTTCATCCTCAGATGAGATTTAGCCAAATTATAGCACAGAACATTTTACCGGATGTTTCTTTTTTTCCTCCGTGCAGTGATCATCAATGTATACACTTAATCACAGGTGGCAGCGGTCTGGATTCGAACCCAGGACCTTTACACGGTGCCAGCTCCGTTCCTCCGACCTCCAAGCCACACAGCCACCACGCCAAACGTTATGACCATGTCACACTGAACGCACACTTTGTGTTTAGTCTGTTGTCCTTCCCCCAGCACCTCCGATTAGCACAGTTGGCTATGTACAGTGCAAAAGAAGTTCAACACACGTACATTAGAATCTTGACAGGCCAGTCAGGCAATGCATGGTTAGATTTTAAATGACGAGTGACTGCCTAGGAATACCAGGTGTTTTAATACTTGGGGTTGTGGAGGCGGCCAGCACGGCAACGGATTCGTGAATCTACCTTTGGCGACCTTTGCGTGTTCATCCCCCCCGAGGTGTGATGGGTTTTCTCCAGGTACCGGCATTTCCTCCTACATGCCAAACTCTTCAAATGAAACTGGCCGTAACTTCGCAATGCAGGATCTTCTTGAAAGAGAATCCCAAGTCTCAGGTAGGTGGAGGGGGGGGGGGCGAGCGTTGAATAAAAGGTAAGTATTTTTTTCTGAGTATTAGAATTGCACTGTGCTTGTAGGACAGGGGGATCCGAGTGGTCGAGTGCTTTAGCTTGCTACACAAACTCTGCACGACTCTGCAGTGTTCCACAATGGTAGGCATGCATAGTGGCCACGTGGTGTTTTACCTTTACACGTCGTGCAAACACACGGTGCTTATCAACGCCAATTCTCAACAACCCCAATCATCTCGCTCCATGTTCTGACGATCGCCAATCCATTCTCTTCCACGCACCTTCAACTCGCAAGGTTGATTACGTAAAAGGTGCGAAAGAAGTTCTACATTACATACATTTTACTTGTGTTTGTATGGATGTTGAGCTGCCCCCGCACCTCCGATTAGCGCGCTCGGCCATGTACGGTGCGAAAAAAGTTGTCTACGTTGAACTTCTTTCTTACCGTACGCAGCCAACCATGCACAATCGGAGATGCGGTGGGTGGGAGGGGGGGAAACCAAAACAAAAATTAAGGCCTCGCACACGCTGCATGTACCCTGATGGTTGGTGATCAGAGAAAGTGCTCCCCCATGGTGGGGGGGGGGGGGGGTCCTTGAGGCATAGAGTTGTGGGCCGCTGCTGGGTGTAAGCCATAGTTTACTGGTACATTGATGTAGAAAGAGAATGTGAACACTGGGGATTTGGCTGTTCAATTAAAATGGATTCTTACGCTTGCGTCTCGCGTCAAACCACGTACAAAAATCGCTAATTTTTTATGAGATTCTATTTCTCTTTTGGTAAAACAAAAAAAAATTTGTATAGATTCACACCACACTAGATTAGATTTACCCCAGCAATAAAACCCATTCTACAATTTCGCAGCAGTATAGACTTACACATTGCGCAACGGCACGAAACGTGCAATTGCTTTGCGAATGGAATCGCGGCGCCGAATTATGACGATTCGTCAACTCGTGGCGACATCTCCGCGTCGCGACATCTCTACTCATGCGCTGGTGCATGATAAAGGCGCTGCGCAAGCACAGGGAAGGAACGAGAGGCTTCACAGAAATTGCAATTGACAAGCATAATTACAGCAAATTCAATAATACAGAAAAATCCATAATAACGAGGTCTGTGACGATTTGCCCTCCAGGCCAGTCCACCACTTGCCAAAGGAGGGTCGTGAGCTCTGAAATGCAACAATTCAGTTCGTCTCATATTTAACTCATTCGTATTATTTCTCATTTATTGTCTCCTTTGTAACATTTTGTTTGCTCCGTTAGCCGAGATGTAACATGAAGAACCAATTGCCCGATAAGGTCGCCTATAATATACATTTCCTTTTAGGGCCAGTGTTTGACGAATGTGTATCGTTTTTATTTATTTATCATGTGCGCGTGTGCGTCACTGCCAACGCAGCGTCAAATAAAATTGCTGACATGCAACATCAGCGCAATTTGTAAATAATCAATGAGCAGCACAGACGAATCGACGCACGTGTCGCAAGCTTAAAATAAACAAAATCGGATTTAATTGAAGAGGGTTAAACTTCCACGTAACTATACGTTAAAGCAGATTAAATTGTGCACGCAATGAGCCACCGTAGTAGGAACAACATTCGGTGGAAGAATTGCGTACATAGTATGATGATTAAGGACGATGGGTGTGCGATCTGAAAAACAGGCCATCAAAAATAACCTCCCGCTCAAAAGGTGAAGAACGAGCAAAACCAAAATCTGAAGCCTAGACCCCGAACAGAACGAAGACGAGGAAGTCTCCCTGACAGAGAGAACATTCATTCCCAGCAAGACCTAATGCTCTAACCATGTCATTTCAGGTTCTAAAAACGGCGTTGTTCAAGTGCAAGCCTTTACAAATGGGCCTGGTGTATTGCCCTCCGATTTGCACACACGCGCACACACACCCCAGTAATCAAAGTGCAAAACCTGCTTGAGGGCGACACCAACCACAAACACAAGTATGGAGATAGCGGCGCCCACAACCGGACCAATTAAGAGATCGAGATACGAACCCGCCACACACGCACTTCCACCGGCTCTCATTCCGAGTGAGACGATGGCCAAAGTTGACAGGCGAGTTGTGCGGTGGGGGGGTAGAAAACAAATAGATAAAACACATCGCCAGGTACACAGGTGCACCGATCGCCTTGACACGAGCGCCACAGGCTGTGATAAAGGATTCAAGGTTGAACCGTCGAGCGCCGGCGCGCGTGACGTCTGTGTCTGCGGGTGGTGGGCGGCTTTGCGCCGCTCGGTATCACGGGGGGGGAAGGGGGGTGGTTTCCACGTCACCAACGGATGCCCCCCACGCAGCGGTTTGGGGGCCCGGTCCCCACCCCCCTCTTTCACCACCTGGCTTGATGAAGGTTACTCGTGAAAACAGGAGGTTCACGTTTTTGTTGTATTGCATTTTTTAATGCAATGAAAAATACCGTCTTTGTTGTATTGCATTTTTTCATGCAATACAACAAAGACGGTATTTTTCAAAAAGGCCTTGAGAGGGGCGTTATTTCAAAGGGTGAATCCTGCTGCCCGAGCATTTCTCCCTCAGCCGCTCTGTCGATTTGTGTTTTTCGCTCAAAAAAACAAATCGCCCACGATTGTGGTCGTGAAGCGGGGGAGAGTACTGCGTGTTTTGAAGCACGCAAAGCTGGCCATTTCACACGTTTCTAAAAGTAAGCGCGTTCACACTAAAAACCTGCAAAATGGATATTTTCAGCTCGAGCAAAGAAGCCCGTCGTCGCTGTAGAACTCATTTGATGACAATTTTCCACCTCTGAAAATAATTAGATTCGTTGCTCCACCACCGATTGCTGTTTGCAACTGCTTATTGCCACAAGTTAAATACCAATATTTCCATGCCGTGCCTTCTGAAAGCGCTCGCACTAATGATGCCTTCTTCAAATAAATGAGATTAGAGTATGAACAAGCTTGAGGAAGTCCGCAGACGAGAGTTTAAATTACAATCATTAGCAATAAAATAACAAAAAAGAATCGCACAAATGCAATGCAAGGGCAGGCAGAAGTAAATAAATATTTTTTTTCTAGGTGCAAAAATTCCGAGACATCTCACTGCACGTCATTAATTGCATCACGCAGAGTTGACAGCAAAGGGTCACCAAACCTCCGCCGTTTATATTCCGGATCCATCCAGCCCGATGGCGGAACGGCGGCACTGCTGCTCAAAACAAGGCACCGAATTCCCGGCCCAAAGCTAACGTCGATGGCCGAGTGACATCAGCACCGGGGGGCCTGGCACCCCCCCCACCCGCCCGCCACTTCACAACCCACAAAAGACTGACGATGGGCTAATGATGCCCTTGGCGAGCGCCTGTTGGGGGAGGCACGGTGGATCCTACCTCCGCTGCTGGAGTTGAACGGGTAGAAGAAGGCAACCAGGAGGTTCATGAAGACGGTCAGGTTGGAGGAGATGGTTCCCCACAGGGTGATGTGTCTGGAGCACCAGTAGAGCATCGGGCGCACTGCGGAGTGGAGTAAAGCCACCGTAACTATTACCCCACCGCCCTCCACCAAAAATCCCCCGTATAGCCTTAACAGACTGTTGGGGCAAGTATTGTTAGAGAGCACCATTGAAGGCCAGCATGGTACATGAGGGGGAGGTCAGCACCACTCCCGACTGATATCTCCCCAGTGGCGATGTTTACACATCATAACAGGGACTTCATTTAAGGCCGAGTTAACCGAGTGGAGGCCCAGAACCGATTCAGATCATCACTGGTGTTGGCCGTGAGCGGGAATCGAACTCGGGTTGCCGGGTTTGAAGCGCAGCACGGTAACTGCAACACTGCCACCACCACCACCACCAATAAAACCGTGGTTGTGCGAGGACATCATTGCCTTGGAGCAGTGGACTCGCTCCATCGCATACTTCATGCCTGAGTAACATTTATTTAAATGCCGTTTAAACCTGGATGGAAATGTGTCATAGCAAATGGCAAGAAAATAAAAACACAGAACAATGCAGATAATTACAACAGTTTCGTTTAGAATTGTTAATTTACAATCCGGATTTGGTGTGTGGGTCTCATTAATTGCACAAACGGGCAGATGGGTTTGTGGACGCACTGTATGTTAATTCAGTGCGTTAGTTATGTTGTCTATAACGACGCGAATGGATACGCTGTGTTATGCATCAGAGATGAGCAAATTGCAAAAACGACAATGGCATTGTTGTGGACAGGCACTTGGGCACACACGGCAACGGAACACGGATTGGAGGGGAGCGCAGTTCTGGACTTGCACACAGCCAGGTAAGGTTTGCGAGATAGAAAATAAAATTATTCTGAACACAAACGCATGGCATGGAGGACTGCGCATATTCCAGACGCGCGGTTTCCTAACGACGGGCAACGCCACGGCGAGGAACAAGAGGGCTCCACCTCTCAGCTGCTTCTGCCAGACCATCTCGGAGAAGAGCTCATGAGAGCTCTGGAAGAAGTCGCTGATCTTGCTGCCCTGGTCGTCACGCTCCGTGGTGAGGTAGACGCGCGACTTCGACTGGCTCGTGAGGAACTCGCACACGTTCGGCACCGGGAACACAATCTCCTCCATCACGCGGTCATGCCGCACGATCTGAAAAAGGCACGAAGGGCGGCGGAACATACGGGCAAGCTGGTCGGATGGAGAGACGAGAGAGGGGCACAGATGCACAGACCGACAGATCGACAGCAACAGGCAGATGACAATAATTGAATCGATTTAGCATCCCAATGTAACTGCCTCACAATACACTTTTATGAAGGTGTAAAACATTAAAGTAGTAGAGGGGGGGGGGGTATCAAAATAGGGAATTACAGGCGAGAGGAGCGAGGGAAACCGAGTGGTCACAGCCCGTGGCTGAGGAAAAGGGGCCCAAGCGCCAACAGAGTCACACAGATGCATGTCCGATTAGCACCACGCCCGGCCACCTTTGTCTCCCTCGTGGTGATGTTTACACACTGCACCAGGTCAACCTAAGGGAGGCTTGTCACCGGTTCAGATAATCTTCACCGGTGTTGGCCATGAGCGGGAATCGAACTCGGGTCACTGGGTTCGTAGCGCAGTGCGCTAACCACCACACTACTGCTCCACATGTATGTACATGCACACACATGTATGTACACGCATGTATGTACACGATTGTATGTACACACATGTATGTACACGATTGTATGTACACGATTGTATGTACACACATGTATGTACACGATTGTATGTACACACATGTATGTATACGATTGTATGTACACACATGTATATATACGATTGTATGTACACACATGTATATATACGATTGTATGTACACACATGTATATACACACATACACGAGGAAGTAGGGGGAATTGTCTGTCAAGGTTCAGGTCAGAGCTAGACTTTAACAAAAGGAACTAGAGAATAAGTTTGTCCTTTGAATGCAGGATGCTTGCAACAGCAGAGGGTGAAGAAAGTGTTTGCAGGTGCAAACAGAAAGCGAGGCTTGCGATGGGTGGGTCACGTGCATAGGATGGAGGAGCTGCAGGTTACCGTGACAGGCATTGGCATGGCACTCGGGAGTTCAATGACCAAAACCAGATAGCGCGGCACTGCCAAAGTGGACCTTGCGAGGTCAGGTGTCGACTTAACAATAACAAAAGTTGCGGTTGGAAATCTGGCGAGAGAAGCGATGGTGGTAAACAGCTGAATAGGCAGCGATAACCTCTCGGACTTGACCTTTTTCTACAGCCTGTAGGCGCAAAGACCGATGAGAGTAAGGGTCTGTTACATCAAGGAGGGTTTATGTAGGACCGGTGAGCAAAATGCCATGCTAACATTACATTCAGCCATGAACTATAGGCTTGCTGCTGTATTTGTAGCAAAAAATAAATAAATTTGGTTTTCTATTCAGATGTATGTTGAAGTTCTTTCACACCATACATCGTCAACCGTGATTAAAACGGGAGATGTGGAGGGGGGGGGGGAAGACAAATTAACACAAAAAGCAGTTCTAAAAAGAAATTAGTTTTCAATCTCGGACGAGTGGCTTCCTAATAAAATCTTATTCTAGATTTGAAGTTTTACAGTAATTTTGTTTTTTTGTTGTGGTTGTCCCACCTGATGATGGAAGCTTGTGTTGCTTCCAAAACGTCGTGATTTAAATTTGGTTATTTTATTTTTCATTTTTATTTTATTTTTTCACCTACGTGACTTTACCGAAAGAACCAAAGAGTAATACAATCTTAAGTAAGAGCGTTCCAGGCAGCCGCACATCCGAAAGCGTCGCGCGACGATGCGCTGCCCCCGTCAATGGCGATGCCACTTCGTTGGGAGGTCACGACCACCGGCGGCGGCCATCATCGCTCCTCACGTTTCCTGCCGAGGCCTCCGCACATTCCTAAAGAACCCGAAGACGACCGTGACCAACGCGTGTCCGAGTTCTCTACTGTCGTACAAGTTGAGGAGTCGCCGATTCATGCGGTTGGGGGTATAGGTGGCAGGGGTTGGCAAACCCTCGGTTCCTGCGCCATCTCTCTCGCATTCAAAACGCATTGCGACTCTTGAAATAGGGTTTTGTTTTTTTACCGAATTCGAAAAAAAATGGCTCCTCTTCTTATTTTGGTTGCAGACCCCTGGTCCCCTCGGGCAAGAACATAAGTACCAAGGAATGAAAAACAAAAATCACCACATTTTTTTGGAGAAGCTTTGGCAAATAATACAAGCCGTTGGTTTTAATACACTCAATCTCTTTATGAAGTCGTTACACCGGACAGCTTCTAAAAACAATATTTTCGCACATTTGAACCGATGCCAACTTGACAGTTTTGTTGGAAGCCACTTCTAATTCTCCGCCGAACGCACTGCAGAGGCTTCGTTTTAAACGTTTACGCGGAAGGAAAGCATTAGGGCAAAAGTGGACACGTTATAAAGTTCAAGTGGTCTCGCGCGGGTTCGCCAGTTACTCCGTTACAACAAACAACCTTCTCAAGGCTTGGAGCTAGGTGGTTCGGCCTATTGCCCGTTATAAAAAGCGTAGGTCGTCATGACCACGCACAATCAAGAGCCGGATTCTGTCGTGACGGTGCTGATCCTTTTATTCTCTCCGCTATCTTTTACGAGCTCTGGGCGTGCACACCCAGCCCGCACGCGATGCTTAGCATGTGCTCAAATAACCTCGGCTGCGGCGTCGTAAAGTCTCAGGACAGTCAACAGCACGGCTTCGACGAAAACGTGCCAGTGCTCGCGCGACGCTGCCCTTGACGATGCCGCTAAAAAAGTTCGCGCAAAGGCTCCAATACCTCTGGGTCGCAACGAGACGTGTAGATCAGGCCGGCTTCTTGGGAGGTGTTGTTGTTTCGCATGCTGGTCAATTATTTAGCGCCCGTTTTCGTGTTTATAATGTCCACCGAACGGCCGTTAGCAACAATTAAAATGCACGCTTGCAACCCACGCGTGTGTGACCTTCACCTTATTTACACATCCCAATTCACGGTCTTTGGCTACTAGATAATTTTATTGTGCCATCACACGCTGCACAGAGATGTTGTGCCAACACACGATGTCACGTAAAATTTACACGCACGCGCGCTCCATTGCTTCAATGTGCATCCGTTGCGTTTCACTGGAGAAAATATTTATTTAAAACGTTTGCTTTTTAAAGAGCAGTGTTATTCAAAATTGTACCATCGGTGCGTCATAGGAATTCATTCAGATCTCTCGTGCAGCAGGGGTGCCCTTCTTGCTGGAGAACGGCCCGTGGAAGTGGACGGAACTACTTTCAGCGAGCGGAACTACTTTCAGCGATCCCTCCATGGGGACCTCTTGGTTTTCATTCAGGGGGCAGCACTTTGTGACAGGGTCGGGTGCTGCGTAGCACACGAGTCAAACCAATCAATATATATTTTCATTCCGAGCTTGAATTAGCCAAAGTGTGCAGAATGAAATTTAATATTACGTTCGCTTGTCTAGTTATTGGCGACGTGGCAGAAACCATTAACTCGCTATACTTGAGAATCAAAAAAAATATCAATCACATGTGGCCACCTCGATTTGAACATAGATTTTTCACCAAGGGAGTGACACGGTCTAGCAGTAGTGATCGCAGATTGTTGTGGTTCATGGTTTACATTGAGCAGCCACCCCTGCTGGTTACTACTGTGGGTATATTAACCATAAAACCACGTGCAGTCCCCGCTTCAGCGGATTGCTCAAGATCCCGTGACGTCGTTCAAAAGAGTATGCCATTTTTTGCTGCCGACACGTTCAAGATTTTTCAATATTACCTGCAAAAGACTCGACTGGAATATACATAGCGATCGCTGCCCACACCCACCCACCCACTGATTTTTTTTTTACAGGTCCCTTCCTGAAAACTGAGTGACGAAACCAAGCGAGGCTTTCCTGGGTAAACAAGCGGTGTAATGATACCAATAATGATAGTAATGATAGCAGTGCCAGCAGTGTGTCGACAGTGCCGACCTCTGAACCCCGTGGCCACCTCACACACGGCGAGGACTTAAAACGCTCGGTGCGTGCTCGATTCATGCTGCTCTCCCGTCCCCGCGCGTGCGTCTTACGTAATCTGCCATTGACGCAGTTCAGTGCCTCAATTTGCCGCGCCAGGCAATTAAAGTTGAAGATTAACACATTATTATTATTATCATTATCGGACCGCCACCTGAAGCACCATATACGCACGCCCACGGCCACGTCACCTTGGTAACATCATATTGCCGCTAAACAAGAGATTAAAAGAATTATAAATCTCCAATTCCTTTTATTCGTTTCGGTGAATTTTGGACTTAATCAGGTTTTGCATCTTCCTGAACATCTGTCCCAGCGTGACCAGAACAATAATTTCAAATTTGTGTCCATTGTTAAGATTACCATCCGAAAAGGTGGTATTCAACCGTTTATTTTTACGACCTATATCTATTAAAAAAAGGCATAAGAATCCTAAAGCTTTTTTCAGGAACATCCTGCACTGGGAAAACTGGAAACTTCACACGTGGATTGTACGGCAATTAGTTTATTTTCCTGAGGCGAGTGGTGGGAAATTACATTTTCCGTCTCAGTCAACCTTCGTTCCAATGGAGCTTGCAGCTTTCTGGAATTCTCTGCCACTTGAACATTGTGCATTTGAGACTGTTCCATACTCAAGACAAGACTTGTTTTCGTGCTTTGTATTGCCATTTTTCGTAACATTTCATTGATTTTATTTAATATCTCATGTCCACCACCCTGTCTATACCCAACTACTGATGCTTTACATTTTCTGTAAAGAGTTTGGAGATGTGCTTGTATTTTGACGCTACATAAATGGAAATTGTACTCTATTGTAGTCATTCCTTTGATTCTGAACAGTGGCGTCACAACACGTTTTTTTATTTTACATAGAGACGGACGCTTGGTTATTTTCAGAGCCAAGCCAACCTTGGCCGGGATATGAATTTTAAAACCACCTCAGTGCCCGAACCGGGTTCGTGAACCCCCACTCATAGCTTTAAATCTGGAAATTGGTGACAGAAATTGTCTCTTGGAAAACAGGTGACGTTTCATCTGCAGCAGCACAAAACGCTCCCCACAAACTGCGGACGTGGTAAGAAGTCGAGATGGGAACAATACTAGATAACAAAAACGGAGCTATAACATGGGACCTTTTTCCCCAGTATCAAAGTGTGACAAAATAAAAATAGGTTTTACCCTTTAAGGCAAAAAAGCAGGTGTTCAGCTGTTCAAACACCAAATAGAAACCTTTTGCAAGCAATCATGTCTGCATTAAGCACACACACTTGTGGCAAACATGCAAAAAAAAACACGTTCTGATAATATATAGCATTGTCTTTCAAACCGTTTGGTGTTCACAAGAGACAGCCTTCTATAGGGCCTAGCCTCACCAGTGTCAGACCAGAGGGCGCCAATAAGGGGAACAGTACAAGGTCAATGCAAACGCCAACACATTCATAGCCTCAGGTGAAGCAGTTTTATCTACCGCACACACATGGCCTGCCCCTTCACGCTGCGCAACAGGGCAGCATCGACCACCTACACTTTAGAAACGTCATGCGTCTTGCCCGAGACACTGTCTGTCAATCATGCAAGTGGCTGGGCAGGGGGCGTTAGTGACCACGAATTATTTCAACGTAATACGCCGGTTCGATCCTCAACAAGGGAGGAGCCACAAATATCCAAACCCCAGCATCCCCTCGGCTACCTCGGCACACGTGGTGGTCAAGGAGTGAGAGTCAACGTCACCGATTCTGAGTGTTTGTGGGAAAAAAAAGAAGCAGCAATGCAATGGACAGGGCGGGGGTCTGGCGGATGGCTGATCGGTGCCAGCCCAGGGTACCTCTATCTGCGACGTGTGCTTGGTGTAGTAGTCCAGAGCCTCGCTGCCCTCTTCGCCTGGGCTCGACGAGAGATGCAGCATTTGGTCAAGCTCCTTGTTGTGTCGAGCCAACTGCGCGGCCAGGGACGTGTGGGGGGGGGGGGGGCACAGAGGTGAGAACAAAAAGGCAAAGATTCCACCCCGCCCCCCACGAAGCATTTAAGAGACAGTTGGGGCCAGGGCTGCTCTGCTCGTGAGCACTTGTCAAGGCCGGTAAGGTGTGCAAGAGTCGGGAGGAGGAGAGGGCAGGAACATTCATGATTTTAAAAAAGGGATGTTCTATCAAAAACAGGCAACTTTTATTGTTACAATTTTAATTTCTGATCCACCTTCTATAAAAAAAAAGGTTGGCCTTGGCATACTTTTGGTCAATAACACAATAAGAAAATGATGAAAAAACGCAAAAGGGCCCATATGGAATGCTTACCATCCTTTCGCGCGAGTGAAGTTATTTTAAAAGACCAAGTCGAAACAAAGGCACACGCACACACACAAGAGCTTGGGGGACCCATGCGCTCCCCTCCGACAGACGGCGAGCAGAGTCGACCTCTCCGGTGCCCACCTGGTGAGCCAGAATGTAGATGTTGTGTCCCACTTCCTTCGGGGAGGTGCTCTGCTGCTCCTCCACCACGCCATCCTCGCCATCCTCCTGGTGGTAGGCCTTCTTGATGACGGCCACCTGGGAGGGCGGGCAACGACGAGGGGTCGTGCGGGAAAAGGTTGAGCGCGAGGCCACACGTCGAGCAATGGAAATGGAGACTTTGCGTCCAGCGGTTAGAGAGAGAGCCCCATTCCTGAGATGGACCGAATGTTTGGCGTAGTTTAGAGAGAGTTTGTAGCCGACTCAGTAGTGCGATAGAAACAAACGTGAAAAGCATTTCGGTCCATTGACGATCCGGCACTCAGAAAAGTCACTCCAGCTACTCACTTTAGTTTTGCTCACTTTCTTGTCACCCTTTTCTTACAGGTCATCTTTTCCCCCAAAATTCTTATTACACCTCGAGACTCCACCAAGTCACCCGTTCCCTTACGATTCATGCCGCGTTCAGCCACCACATTTGCAGGACTCCCTTCTTCCTTTCCTCGCACCGCTCAGTTTGGGAATTCCCTCCCATGAACTTATCCCCCCCCCCCCCAAGTTCCTAGAATCTCTCAAGAAAAAAAAGCTTTCGTTCCGCATCTGCTGTATCATCATTCGTGCTCGTAGTTTCTAGCTTGGGCACTTCCTCCTGTTCGTCTCTCTTTAAGTTCCCGCAACCAGACTTCTGTTCAAACAACGATTTCTGATCTGGTGCACTGTCATTCGTGCTCCGTTTGCTGGCTGCTGCTCTGCGCAACTGGTCTTGGATCTGTGGTCACAAAACTGTCATAAAAACCATGGCTCAAGAGTTTGGGCTCACAATCATGATGCCTTAAAAGTGAATTGCACGAACCTAATTTTTTCGTGGAAATAAAAACCCGATGCATTCCTTCCGACACCGTTCCTTAAAATAAATCAGTCAATGTCTAATTTTCCCGTGCATCCATTCATCTGTAAGTGGAAATTTGGCCATGCACAGGTTGGCAAAAATCACATAATGACTTGTAATCGTCCAAATCTTCGGGCTCATCAATTCTCCCCCAACAAAAAGGTTTGGCTCACTGCTTAAGAGTTGTTACCTCATCAGCGATTCTGGTCCAGAAGCAAATAGCAACGGTTAGGAGGCATTGCACGGGTCACTTCCCCCCGCCGACTCCAATTCTAGAATCAAAAGTCGCTATTTGTAACTACCGTCTTGTTTGTATGTATTATTTGTCGAGTTTCTCTTTTCACTGGCACAGATGTAACACGAGCATAGAATTCACAAACATCGTAAACAGTTGCTTCTAATCGATGCATCGTTAGATGCCGAGGCAACACTCCGCTAGTAAAAAAAAAAATTCGGCGCAATGAAATTAAACAAAAATCGGACATCTCCAAAGTCGTAAACTCTCGAGCTGGGCTTCGGCGGAGCGTGGAGCCGGTGGCGGCCGTACCAGCTCCTTGGGCCGCATGTTGTAGAGGATCCGCTCCGCGTTTTCACTGTCGTGGCGACTCTCCATGATCGCCAGCAGCAGCTTGGAGGCGTTGTCCTGCGCGAGTTTTGTAGGACGGCAGTTTTAATAAGAAGCACATCAGGGCGAGGAGAGGATGTGGAAAGAATTACAGCTCTTGTTCGTGGCACAAACCGGTCTCTTATCTAAAGCCAGGTCCAGAGCTGACATGGCCAACCATGTTGGCATTGCCACCAGTAAAATAATAATGCCATGTATTTACCCAGAAAAGACGAAGCATGTGGTAGGAAACTGGGATAACTCCAGATACACACAATATGGGAAGGGGGGGGGAACGAAACCATGTACAGAGAGTCAAGAATCCATTGATTTATTACAATCCCCTCCTGACCATATTGCAGTGTAAGGCTCACAACATCTGTAGGTATAAAATCAAATAAATCACGACGTTTCGGGCACAACACAAGCGTCCGTCATCAGGTGGGAAAGCTTCTGGTATTCCCAAAGAAGGTCACAAATAAGTCAGAGCCAGCCTCAACCCTACTAAAGGGTTCTCTTTCATCCGACAAGACCATGGCGATTTGGTCAGTTTTCGAAAATTTGGCGAATTTTAATTAGTTTGCGAGCCCAAAAATAGGGCATGGGTTCGGACCAAGTTAACGAAGGTATTGAGTGAAGGCAGGTCCCCTTCTCACGGACAGCAGTGACTGAGAGCCAGTTACCATCAGCTAAACCTTCCAAACATCAGCATTTGGCTGGGACGGTTCATCCCAAAGCAGGCAAAAGGCGGGGGGGGGGGGGGGGGGGCGGCACTACCAGAGGATTGAGTGGAGTTGGCAGAGTCGCCAGAACTAGTGGCAAAAAGGGGGGTGGTGCTAGTGACAAGGTGGGGATGGCCGGGAGCGGTGGTGTAGCGGTTAGCGCGCTGCGCTACGAACCCGGTGACCCGAGTTCGATTCCCACTCACGGCCAACACCGGTTCCGATAATCGTCACTGGGAATCCTCTAGGTTGACTCAGCCTCAAATGAGTACATCAACAAAGGCAGTCGGGAGTGGTGATGGCCCACCCATCCCCTCGTGTGCAGTGCCGGCCTTCACAGGTGCTTTCTAAACAGCAGCACTCGCCCCAACAGTCTGTTAAGGCTATACAGGGGATCTTTGTCTTCATGGTCATGTAAAAGGGGGCGGGGCTGACAGAGGGAGGGGGGGGGCTGACAGAGGGAGGGGGGGGGCTGCCCGCTGCCCACGTGTCCCTTTACCTTAAGCTCCAGCACGAGCTCCATGCGATCCTTGCCGAGGGGGTTGATGTCGTTGAGAATCAGCGCGATGATGATGTCGATGCCGTTGGACTCGTGCGTAGCGATGCAGTTCTAGCGGAGAGATCGGCATCATCACCACAATTACAAGCACGTCGCCACACCAGGGAGCCTCAACTGCCAGGTTGTTTTCCACTGTTTTGCGATTATTTCAAAAATGGCACATTAGTGGCAGGGCCGCAACCACAGTGGGTGTCCGAACACCTAAAGGACGACAACATTTTGCACCCCAGGGTCAAAGACAAAAGATCCCCTGCATAGCCTTCGTAGACTGTTGGGGCAAGTACTGTTAAGCGAGCACCTATGAAGGCTGGCATAGCACATGGAGGGGGTGGGTGGCTAGCACCACGCCCGGTAACCTTTATCTTTCTTCCGGCGATGTTTACACATCGCACCAGGCACGCAGTTGAGGCCCAGGACCGGTACAGATAATGGTCGCTGGTGTTGGCCATGAGCGGGAATCGAACCTCGGGTTAAAATCGGGTTCATGGCACAGCGAGCGGACTATTAATTGCTACACACTGAGCCTAGGCTTTTGTTCATGGAGTTTGTCCCACCCCTTGCAGTGCTTTGTACTGGGCCCATGTTGAGTGATAATCAAAACAATATATACGAAATTCCCATCAGCGGCAAAATGGCATCACTCGAGCAGCGTCGTACCTGGTTCTCGTGGCAGGGCCCCTGGCAGTACTCGGTGAGACTCTCCAACGTCTGGTTGATGAGGCCTACGTTGCGCTCGTTGATGTAGAGGCCCAGCAAGCCCAGGCCGCCTGTGGTGCTGCCGCAGATGCAGTCGAGGAACTGCAGCGTCTCGCACACCAGGTTGTAGTTGGTCTTGTTGTTCTGGCAGCGCAGGAAGTTCTGCCAAATGTTGGGAATGGATTGACGAAAATAAAAAGGCGCGTGAAAATCGGAGGCGATGTTCAAATTTGGTATTTCGTTGCAGTGCTCAACTACCGTTTTGCGGTCCTGAGATGGTGGTGGAATTTCCGTGTTCGTATGGTGGACTTAACTTTATCCCGAGGGGTACACTCACTGCTGGTGGTTCATTTATTGACCATGAGACAGATTATGGGATGAGCTGATTCCACAGCTAGATTCTAAAAACTCAACCTTCCAATTGGGAGTCATGTGCTCTAACCATGGCACCAACTGGCTAGAATAAACAACAAAAATAAAAATCTGGGTTATAGAAAGATTGTATCAAACCGCGCATTAACCACAAATGAAAAAAAATATTCTCGGACAAAATAAAAAACTTCGGGTCTGTATTTGCTTTGCAACTGCATCCACGGTATGTAAACACTAGGCATGGAATGATTCAACCCCACAACGATGTCATGAATTGTAACCGAGAAATTAATTCTGAGGTCTCATTTTTGTTACAGCCACGTTCACACGTTGCGTCTCATTTGTTTCACCACATTTTGGTGCGTTGTTGTTTTCGCTCCTCTTGCCTCCACAATCCGTTCTCAATTTCCACATAAAAACACGAGTTTGTGAATGGTATTGCTTTTTGCATCGAACAAAGCCCACGATTTCCATGAGCGCGCTCGCCAATAACAGTACTCGTCTAACAAGTCAGAGACCGGCCCAGGGTTTTGCTTACATGAACAAAAGCCGATTGACAACATTGATTTTGAAATGCAATGGGTTGACGGGACCAAAACACATTTTACTTGCGTCTGGCGACAGAAGAGAGTTTCTGCTTATATTTTACATTTTCTTTCAGCCACAATGCTCTACAGCAAATGATCACGAGTTTGTTATGTTTAACATGATCAATCTATTTGCATGGAATGTAAAAGATTGCGTGCGCGGGAATCGTTAAAATAAATGCGGCTCAAGTCTTTGACATTATATATATATATAAATAAACAAACATGATGTGCGTTATCATGCAATTGGAGACCTAATTGTGTCAGAAAGCAAAGTTCACAACACCATGGTGGTCGTGGTGGTGATAATAATATTGACCCCCCCATTCGTAATTTGCACTTGCAGCAAAAAAAGTGTTAAGACCCAAGATAAACTAAACACATCCGAGGCTAAAGATTTCTCCTCTGCGTCTTTGCCACGTCAAAAAAGTGCAACCAATGAGGATTTCTCCCCACGCGCAGTAATTTGAATATTAATTGGCACTATTAACTCCAATTCGACAATCCTGTGTGTTTAATAGGAGCTCGCCAACTGAAAGGCCAGCAGCTGCTGCCCATGTACCTTAAGTTGCGATCCTGGGTCCAAGAGAGCTGGCATAATGTGATTGGGTAACACATTACAGGCTCTTGCATGACCTCATAACAAGACATTTAATATGTCGGTGATCAGGGCAGGTGGCCCAGTGGTACAGCAAGCAGCCTGCGATCTCGGATTGCTTAGCCCACCATCCCTTCTGGGGTCAGGAGTGATTTTTTCCTATGGATATATGTGCCCCTGCCATTGGGAATGTGGAATTTCCACCAGTGACCAAGGGGATATAAAAACAGGACTTGCACCGCCCCAATGTTCTCATTTCAGCAGGATATGTTCCTTTGAATATGTTCCTGCATAATATGATTAAATTGGGTCATACCTTTGTGATTAAATATTTTATTGCTTGTGCGCGTCTTCCAAACTAGATCACCAAGTATAAATTATTTCAGGAATCCATCCAAATCATTTCAGGAGTTCATCACAAGAGGTTAAGAAACCCAGTGTGGTTGGTGGCTCAGACAGCTATTACTGTGTCAAAGCACAGAGCCCGCCACCGATGACAATTTCGAGTATTTAAAATCGATAGGCATTTGCCCAATATTCCAGATGCTCAAGCGAAGCAGAGTTTGACGGTTCTCAGCCCGATAACTGATGACGGCACAACAAAAACAAACCCCGATCAAGTAAAATTTGGTTTTCATTCAATTGAAGTCACTTCCAGCGTTGGAGGTTCGCACCAAAGTCCGGATTGATTGGGCGTGCGACGAGCGTTTCTGGCAAGCAAGACTGCGCGGGTAACTCTCGTGAGGGCACTTCACGGGGATCTTAGTAGGAGTTTTTGCGATATCTTCTGGCGGCCATTTCTTGACAAAACCCCAAAAGACTTGTTGCCGAAATAATTATGAAAAAGGTCTTCATGTCATGGGTGTAATCCAACGGCAAAGTAGGGAATATAATTTCGATAAGGAAAATAAAATGGAACCGACACGGTACGTACTTGTGGTGTCGTGCGTTCTCTGCAAGGCCGAGTTAGGATTTGCTTTCTGAGCGTTAAGAAAGAACACTCATCCAGACGATGACAGTATAATAAGGACAGAGTTTCAGGAAAGAAAAACTAACTTTACAGCTGTCGAACGGCACGTATCAATAATGCACCCCATGGGGATGTCACAATTGAGAAAATTCAAAATTACTCGTTTTGTTTTTGCAATGTCGTTTTACATTCTTTGAATAGGCCGTACAATTAAACTTCTCTCCATTAACACGCAATTTGTAAAGACAAATCGTCGCAAGCTAATTCTCACGCGCGCGCGCAATTTGAAGACGAAATCACGAAAGTTAAAATAATCAATTCGAATCCTAAGAATGAACTCGACGTTAATTTCCAAGCCTGGCTTGCCAGCTCCCTCCCACATCCCGGTGAGGTCACGGACCACCTCAAGACCTCCAAGCCGACCTGCAGCGCTGGGTTGTGGTTTTCACAGAGCAGCTGCAGGAAGCGCAGGATCGGTTCCATGATCGAGATGAGTGGGCTGATCTCATCCGCCTCCACATAGGTTGCTCTCTCTCCTCCTCCGCCTTCTCCAGATCCAGATGCCGTTGAGCTACTCCCTCCAGCCTGTGTGATGCCACCACCACCATCCTCCGTGTCCGCATCACCGTCGCGCCGGTAACGTTTCGTGTCCTCGCTCAAGGATATCGTCGAGCATCGCCGCACAGCTGCGGAGGGGGAAGGGATGGTGGATCAGAGAATTTGGATCTTTAGTTGATCATCCATAAGAGGTTTTTGTGACAAGTGTTAAACTTTAGTTGATCAAATCGACTTAATCAATTATGATCTCAGGTCTATATAATAACAAAGATCCGTTAATACAGCCTTTAACAGAGATTGTTTGGGGCAAATGCTGTGAGAGCACTTATTTAAGGGCCGGTACCATGAAGGGGATGAGTGTCCAACACCGCAACACCTTAGTGTCTCGTCAGTGCCAACGTTTACAGAGCAGGTACTAATTTAAGGCTGAATAAACCTAGGGGGAGGTTCAGATAATCACTGGTGTTGGCGGCGAGCGGGAATCAAACTCTGGGTCGCCGGGTTCGTAGCGCAGCGCGCTAACCGCTACACTACCGCTCCCTACACGCACACAGATTAGCGGCTTATTAAATAGCGTGGTCACCTCTCCTGTGGCTGACGGAGGGCAGATCCTTCTCGGTGCCATCGTCCTCCTTGTTCTCGCCCCCCAGCTCTGCGGTGTTGACAGTCACCGTCGCCTTGATCTCCTGCTGCGCCGCCTTCATGCGCTCGTAGAAAACCCTGAAGAACTTCTCAGATTTCTTGTCCTCGGTGAGTCGACGGTAAAACGAGTGCTGGAGGAGAAGAGAAAAAAACCACTTCAATGAACAGGTCGGGAAGAAGAAAAATCAAGCACATGCATGGACTGTGTTTATCAATTTCCTGTGTACACAGCTTTAAAGAAAGTTGCCCATCGTTTCAGCCGTTGTGCCGAGAGATCGAAGAGAACGCGACCTTCGGTTTGGATGCCCATATAGCGTGCAAACCATTATACCACCCGGAGCATCCAACTTGTAAAGTGGATGGCACCACTTTTCTTTTTCAAATAAACACACGTGTTTTGTCTACGGAAGTATTTAACTAGCGGTGCAAGGTACCGGCGCATCGTTGTCAGAGCGAAATGTCTTTGCATATTTGCCAAAGTTGTTTTTTTGCTTCCAAGTTTTAGACAACCGTTTTATCAATTTGGCCGGTCACCGTGAGCAATACACCTTCATACCACAAGTTAATTCGTATTGGATCATTACGTTACGGGCGTCACAGTACCTCCCATTATAGGAGGGACGGACGGACAGACAGAGCCAATGTATACATACATTTTACTGGTAGGAACCTCCTGGTTACACCAGCCCACAGGGGATTATTGTGTTCGTCCGTCCGTCATGGAGGGTGGGGCTGGGTCACCCCGTGGTGCCCTTATAAAACTCAACGTTTAACCAACTCACGCCGGCTTGTGCCCGCCCTCACAGTCGGGAATATTTGCGGAATACACCACGCCGCCGTTGACCCTGGCCATTGACAGAGCAACCCAACGTTCCTACCAGCTCCCTCCGCAGGAATGTGTTTATTCCCCCCCCCCCTCCTTGCTGTAAATGTCCACGTGATGGGTCACTGTGGTACTCTCATTTGTGGCCAGGTCACTTCTGAAAAATGAGTTAATAGCTCAGTGGGCTTTACCTGCTAATACATGTTCGAGGTTAGTTTTGCGTGTATATTTTTTAAGTGATTTTTTTTTCTTTCCTATACTTTACATTCCTATGGGTGTTTCTTGTCAACTTTCTGACCCCGACATCCGACATCTGTAAAAAAGAGCTTTATAGCTCAAATTCCTCCAGTATAAATATTCTGATTCTGCTTTAAACTTCATTTGGGAAGCGTAAACTATTGCCAGGGGGCCAACAGAGCAGCCATCCATTGTTCTGGATTGTAAAGATTCTTACGCTTTTCATTCACACGTCATCGCTCTGTAACATCCTCCGACACAGCGTCGTGCGCGTTTGCTCACCGTTCGATGTTGGAAAGGAAAAACGTCTTCGTCTCAGGACGGCGACGACACCAGACAAAATTGGAATAGATTTCGGACGAATGGAACCAAAAAAACCCACATGCACTGGGGAGAAAAGCCAAAATTCTAAGAATCCGTACGTCCGTTCCAATTTAGGCTATTGTAAGTAGCACGGTACTGTACTGGGTGATTGTCATGAGAAGTTGGCAGTGGGCCACCCTCACCTCTCCCAGCAGTCACACCATGGAAATCGCAGCTTCCGTGGGGATTATCCGCCGTCATTCTACACCCGGTTGGTGGAGACCGGTTGGCTGACCTCTTGCAGGGTTTGCAAATTGCCGAATCCAGCTTTGGCCAACTGCCACATTTCTAAATACCTAAAAAATAAATGATACGGACTCTTAAAGCCATCTTCTCCACATAACACCAACTACACCTGACAAATTATATGAAAACGTGACAAGGTTTGCATGTCAACTGGCTTTAAGATTTCAGATGGACACACCTTTTCCTTAACTATGAAAAAGCACAATATTATTTAGTCAATCACCGTATGAGAGTAAAGAACTCGTCACACTGCGTTAGGTCGCGAGGGGCTGCTTGAACATACTTCACCATGCTGGTCAGTGCAGATTGGTCAATGTGGATGCCCTGGGACATTTTTCAATATTAACTCCATCCATAACAGCGGCAAAATCATGCAAGTTGTCGGGGGTAAATTGTTACATGCCTAGCACCAAGCATTCCCTCCCCCGTGCGCCAATATGTGCAGAGCACCAATGCGTTTCAGCCAGAGGTAACTCGGGGGATATGCAGTCAAGAGCTGGTAACGTACTCTCTGGTCTGTTGCTGAGCTACACACAAGAAAAAATATATATATACACACACACACACAACAACCGCCATTCGCCACTAAGTGGCGGTGACGTCACCACGACGCTTGTGCCAGGCCATGTGCACCTTGAGGCCACGTGAAGTGTCGAACGCCCGCTGGCAGGAGGTCACGGGGCAGACCCAGGTGCCACGGATCGACTGACTGAGATGACTGGCTGATGCACCACCTGTGCCCCCTATTGTACCAACTTGCTGTGCTTTAGCCACCCGGCGCGCCGCTCGTTGTTGTGTATATACACACAGATAGAAACATACCGCCATTTTACCCTCACAGACTAAGGCTGCTGTTAGCGAGCATCTATTTAGGCTGGCATAGCACGCGAGGACAAATTTGACTGAAGGGAGGTCAAGGTCAGGTTGGGATATCACATGGAACTTTTTTCCTTCTTGGAACAGATTTTAGCTACGGATGGGAATGGCACTCGGGTCCCGGGGAGCGTTGGGGCAGTGCGCGAGCCACTGCCGCAGCACGCCAAGCAGTGCCTCGCATTCCTTAGGCACACGGAGGTGGCGACACTGGCGCGGTCAGTGCCACGAATTGTTCCGGCCCACCGGCTAACGGCACTTGCAAACCATCGGCCACAATGTACGTGCCTAACGCGTACGGGGAAGAAAAAATAAAAATAAAAAAATCGCTGAACCTGTGCGCCGCGAAAATTTCAATTAACAAAAAAGCGAGAGAGCACACAGGAGCGGAGCGCCGCAACCCCCTTCCAACAATTTGGCCAATTTCACGGCGACGGCTCGGCGGGGGCCGCCTGCGTCAATCACCCCCTCCCCCCCCACCCCGCTCGGGGAGGGATCCTGCTGGCAGAGCGACACCGCTGGGCGCCGACATTTACGACGACCTCCTCCCACTTGGCGGCGTGGAGCGGCGCTGGGTCGGCACGTCCCAGGGCCAAAAATAAATTATTTAAGTCACGCACAACCTTATTTATGCAGGCAGTGGTGGCTCGGGCAGAGATTATGAATAACAGGCCAAGGGTGAGGGGAAGGGTTAGGCGAGGGTTGGCCCAGCGGGCGTGGGGTAACGGTGCCAGTCATGGGGGGGGGGGGGGGGGGGGGGGGGGGTCTGTAAATAACTCCACTCCGGATCAACCCAAAGTGAGCCGTGTCGGTGTTTGAAATGTGCCGTGCGCAGCCCACTGTAGGTCAACACCCCAACACGGTGTTGAAGGACCCGCTAAAGGCCGGCGACGATGCATTAATGCAGAGTGCGCATCACCGAAGGGGTATTTAATCAAATTCCCTTTTTCACGAGATAATACATGTGTGCATGCGTGTCATGCTACCGGCAAGTGGATTTGTTTCAAAGAGCCTTTGCAAACCTTTCGGTTATCACCTTGCACACATGGGTTTCCACCACCCCCCCCCGCCCCCCCCACAGTTTCCTCCCACACGCCAAAGACTCATTAATGGAATTATCCAAGCATCTGATTTGTAGGACCCTCCTGAAAATTAATTTGGAGACCCAATACAACGAGAAACTGTCGTAGGCAAATTGATTACATTATTATCAATGCATGCCTCGCATCATTTCATTAAAATGGGAATCCAATTTGCATCAAGTGATAATAAGAGGGACCACTTTCAGTCCTGTATAGCCACTTCTCAAAATGGGAAAAAAATTATACATCCCAATTGAATATTGCTTTAATCATTGACTATTGGATTTACATAATCACTTTCATTGGAACAGCTCGCTATTGTCCAGTTAGATGTGATTACAACGATGCCACTGACAGAAAAAAGCAATGCAGAAAAACATTATATAAACGACATCAACAGGATGTGCACACGCATTCATGGTTTACCACTCCGTTATCCTGCCTACGAACCAATCACGAGAAATGCCTCCGATCTCAAAGTTCAGGAGCTAAGCAGGGCTGGTGCTTGGATAGTGTCTGGATTGGGTGCCATGGTGGTGTAATGTTAACTCACTTGCCTAGTATGCAGGATGTCGTGGGTTTGATCCCGATCCGGACGCCTGTATTTTTAGAGTATGCATGCTCTCCATGTGGTTGCGTTGATTTTTCTGCGTCTCCCCCGGTTCTTCGCCACATTTAGAAAAGTGCAGTTAGAGTATTTTGCTGCTAGAAATTTCAACAGGTTAGGCCACTTCACCGAGCTGTAGGTCAGATCGCTTCTGAATAAGACGTATAGCTCAGTGGGCCTTAACCTGGTTAAATAAAAATCGTAAAAATAGGGTGACCACCATAGACAAACAGGTTGTCATAGGCTTACATGCTTCCAAGTCTAATGTTCACTGTGTCTGTACGTCGATGTTACCGCATCCATGCTGCCCCCCGACTCTACGGACCCTTATTGACCAGCCTGGTGAAATGCGGGTCTTCGGCCCGGCATGGTGTCGATAGGCCCTTGCCCAGCAGTAGAATGACAAACAAGGGGCTGCACACGTGTACACGCAACATCGTACAATACAAAGCGAGCCAGCAGAGAATTCCGTACCATCTTCAAGCACACGGATAAGAACTGCAGGAGACCTTGCTCAAAAGAGATAAACACTCACCTGGATGTCAAACAAAGACAACAGCCTTAGACTATTGGGGCAAGTGCTGTTAGCGAGCACCTATGAAGGCCGGCACTGCACACGAGGGGGGGTGGGTGGTGGCCAGCACCACGTATGGTCGGCCGTCTTTGTCTCCCCTTTGGCGATGTTTACACACCACACCAGGTACTCATTTGAGGCCGAGTGGACCTAGGGGAGGCCCAGGAACGATTCAGATAATCGTCACTGGTGTTGGTCGCGAGCAGGAATCGAACTCTGATCGCCGGTTTCGTAGCGCAGTGCGCTAACCGCTGCATTACCGCTCTTGAATAAAACAGAGGATTTCCGGCTTGCATTGCGATGGGTTTTTCCTCTCATCTCATCATTTGAAGAGATCACGGCGACTCACCTGTATGGTGGTGTTCCCCCCCTCCAGCAGGGCAATCCCCAGCAAGACGCTGTCGTGGAAGATGCGATCGCTCGTCGTGCTCACGACGAGGTCGATCACGAGGTCGGAGGCCCCCTCCTGGTCGAGGTGGCATTGGATGCTGGCAAGGGTCATCTCGGAGCGGTTGAGTAATGCCGGGGTCACGGAGGCCTGGCCTGGATGTCAAAGTAATGCCGACAAATGTGCACGCACGTACGCACGCACACATGCACACAGAAAATGTGAAGGTTTCTTAATAATTAAGAATAACAATAATTGCTAGGCCTTTGTCAATCCACTGTTAAGATCGAGGCCTCGCTTGGACCACACACACTTTATCACGCCAGTCAGTTCAAGTTGGTGTCGTGAGGGAGGGGAGCCCAGGACCAGTTTGGCGGCTATCACTCGCTACCAATGTTGGCCAGATCGGGAGTTAACTTCTGTTGCTAGTGCTCCATCGCTGCCCCCACGGTCCTTACCCTAAACATCATCGGCACGTGTCCGTGAAATGGTCGGAGATGGTTGGTTAGTTGGCATGTAATGATGCATCAATAAAAAAAAACACATGTTTATGCATTCATGACACAGGCAGCAAATGGTGCGTGCAAGATTGTATCGTTTCTTATTTGGACACAATGAGGCAGCTAGGGGAGGTGTTGCAATCGCTACAAATGCAGAAGACAATAGATGTTTACAAAGGAAGGAGTGACCGCCAATAAGCGAATCATTAATGTCTAAGTGGTGGACAAATTCTCTCCACGGCTTTGTAGAACTGCAGCTTCTCTACAAACATCAAAGCTCCAGCTCTGACCTCTGCTCGCAAAGAGTATTTCTCAAACCACCTGTGTTGCTTGTCACTCCCTCCAGGTCCTCTTTCCTTTAGCCCGACACAACAAAAGGATCATCTTGCTTCAAAAATCTGCCCCACATGACCCGGTGATCCGGTGTAATGTCAGTTTTGCTGCGTTCTATCCTTTCGGCAAATTCTCTTCCTTCTGCCGTGTCGACACGATTAGGGCATCATGTGTGAACGCCATCAGGAAGCAGGTTAGGGAGAGTACGTTGGAGGATGTTTTGAGCAAAATCTCGCATTTGGTGACAACTTGTTGTAGGATTTAGAAAAAAAAAATGGGGCTCATGACATTTGCCAGGCAATGTAAATTGTAGAGTGAATGAGCAGTGCCCGGGGCTAATAATCCAAATCAGAGAGCCCCCCCATAACTCAGTTAGCAACACAAAAACACAAATGGTAAAATAGAAAAAGTGAAAAGATCAATTCCAATCAGGCTTCGTCCCTGCCAAGTCATTAGAAACTTTACTTAACTTCACATCCAACGAGACGACGCCTTTCACAAAAAAAAATCTAAAAGTTTGAACTCGAATTCCAACCCCATGTGTTTACCAGCCAGCAGGTTTCACTCCTTAACCTACACCCCGGCCGTTTCATTCCACCATCCATCCATCCCCGAAGCATACAAATTCTTCTTGGAGCCAGCGCTGGAGTCTTGTTGCCAAGTGAAAATAATGCCCCAATTAAAAGCGACCGCGTCGACCTCATGGGAGCGGCGGGGGGTGGGGAGGAGGGACGCACATGCGGCCCCACGTGCTTGGTCCATGTGCCCTCGGGGCAGGTGCGGCAACGCCGCCAAAGTGAGCGCAAGCACCGCATGGCCCTAGCTCTCGCGCCACACGCACGCATGCGAGTGCACGCGAGCACCTAACATTGTCACAGCAGGCATGCGTCTACACGCTCGCAAATTATACTACACACACACACACACGCTAAAAAAAAATAAACCCACACACGATCATCCCCCTGCATAGGATTAGAGACTGTTGGAGCAAACACTTTTAGCGAGTAGCGACGAGGGCTGGCACGAGGTGGTGGTGTGTACCTACTGCATTGTTAGACATATGAAACGCACACACAATACCACGCAAAAAAAAACTAATATCCTCCGTGCAGCATTATAGACCGTTGGGGAAAGTGCTGTTAGCAAGCGCCTATTTAGGCGGGCACAACTTATGAAGGAGGCGGCAGTGTGTGGCCACAGCACCAAGTCTGACCCGGCTCGGATATCACCCTGCCTATCACCCTGCCACCGATGTTAGCCAACATTCAGGAATCAAATTTCAGGTTAAATCTTGACTGAAAGCTTTCGTGACTGCAGGAATTCATATTTTTATATTTTGAACCATCTATATGACTTTACCGAAAGACCCAAAGAATACAAATTTCAGGTTATTGGGTTCGGAGCACAGCAAGCTAACCACCGTCACGACTCCCCACCACGCACACACACACACACACTCTCTACTGGCTTAGCAGTTAATAACTTAATTCCTTCACATTCATTGTGGTTATGCCGGAACTCTTATGAAAGACCGCGGCAAGATTTTGCGCCAGGAGCTATCTGCAGCCGTCAGTCAATCCGACGCGACAATTCAAAAGAGATCCAGCCTCAAAATACACAAAGACACGCGGCTGTTAATGCAAGCGAAAGCGGTTGGTTTTTTTTCTTCCACCCCCTCATTAAATCCCACACGGCCTCCAGCATCATCATCATCATCGTCCCACGCTGCTCGACACGTGCTGTGTCCACGTGCAGTGTCCTCACCGCTCCCCGCGGCCGTTCCGACTGGGCGTGACGCCGCTCCTCCTCCGCCGCCGCTCCCCAGGTGCGGGCCCCCCCCACCGTCGCGATGTCCCGTCTGCACCGTGGAGGCTCCATAGTAACGCAGCAGCAGGTTCTGCCGCAACGCCTCGCCCTGTACCGGAGACGGAGCGTGCAGTACGGAGTGGGGAAGGGTCTTATTATTCAGACGTTTCAAGTTTTTGTAGTCATTTACGTACAGCGAGGTTGTTGCAAGCGCACTGTTCGGAATGCTGTCCGGCGTCAATGCTGTAAGTGCTGTGAAACTTCTGAACCCTTTGGCCGTTCCGATGACGTACGCGTACATCATCCGTTATTTATTTCGGGTCTGTTCGTGTATGCCATCTGAACGGAACCTGGAAGATAAACTAGATGAAAAACCATATTAAATATATTCCTCTAGTACCCGATTAGTGCGGCTAAGATGCTTGCAGAGATAGAAAAATAGAATTTTGCAGGCCATTTCAGGCCTCGCGATTGTAGTACTAAATGAAGCCTGCTACATGGGCCAAAGGGTTCCCAAAGCCCTGTCCTACATGTAACAAAAGTTGCAGGTTCAATTTTCGAATCATCTTGTGTTCACCACGTCCACGCTGTTGCTTGGTAGTTAAACGAAGATTAATCACAAGCGGAAGATTCACCATGGATGCAGCACAAGAAATGAAGTTGGGGAAAATTATAAGTTGTACATTTGTGAACTTTCAGGTTATGAGAAACAAATATGAAGTAACAAATTGATCTTCAAGCATGCCAAATTGGGGCTCGTCAAGAAATTCACGACTACATAAAGCTCACGGCAACGCGCATCAAATCATGTGTGTATGCGATGAATATTACATTTACTATACATGTTGTTTAAATAAATACAAATCATATCAGCACTGTCAAATAACAAACTTTTCTCGAATGGAATCGTGACCGAATCATAAGGATTACTTAAATTATCTGGGTGGGTAAAGAGGAGTAGGGGATAGCTCAGAGGTGGATCATTGCGGCCCTAATGTCCACCGCATGGTCAAGAAACACGTGGCAAAATCAATGCCATTCCAGTGTGTAATCAAGACACCATTACAGGATGGCACGGAGACTTCGAATCTACCATCATTGCTCCTTAAATTAAATAATAAAGCTATTTTCCAGGGGACTTGAACACAAACAGCTCACGGATTAAAATCTGGTTGTGTCAACATCCTTTATAATCAACATTCAAAACTAAAACCCCACAACCATTCAGTGGAACCTTACATCTGTAGGCGGGCTTCGGATTTGCGGCAGTCCATTTAATATCAATCGTGTTTTGCAAGGAAAAAAAAGCCCCACTAATTCCTCTAATCTCGCTCAATATGCGAATACTTCACAGGGATCTTTACGCAACCGAAACAATTACGTAAAAGCCATTTCTGAAATGTCTCTCCTGCACGAAGCTATTAATGAGATTCACCAGACATGGGGCGGCTCAACAGGCCTTAGGCTGCCACACCGGAGGGTATTTGTTGTTGCGCGCAGCAGTAAGCAGATGCAACGCGTGTACGAGCGAGTTAATATTTTTCTGCAAATTTGGCGAGCCCAGTGCTAGATGCGTGTGCGATACAGCGCATTGGAGCCCTACATCAAAAGCAGGTAGACAATGCGGGCAGATCATAGTTTGTGAAACTATAACTCCTACAAGGCCCCAAGAGATGGCTAGTAGAGCAAGCAGGGTTCCGGAGGCTTCGAGTGTGGACGTCCGAGCGTTACGCTCTGCCAGGGGACCCTGGGGTTCCCTCCCAGGTCACAAATATTCTTAAAAATAAAAGTGGCCAAAACTTTGCGAAACAATGCATCAATTCGGACGGAGAGATCTCGATCTCGGATTTTTGCCTCGCAATCCACACTTTAAATCACGTCAAAGATCAATGTTTTAGGCATTTTTGTAGGTATACTGTTCAAATGGAGTTCATGGGACCCTGCAGCCTACGTACACCGCAAAGTTAACAAAGGAAAGAACTGAAGCTTGAATCTAAATCGTGACCAAGTTACAACAGCAGATTTTTTTTCACTAGAAAAAGGTTTCAGGATTACAAACCCCCCAATTCGGACACTCGCACAAAAACAAGTTGTTTCAGAAGGAGGGATATCCAGAAAAAAAAGAATTAAAAAAATCACACACCCACGCACAAACAAACACTCTGATTATCCGCTCGTTATACAGCTTTGCACTTATTAGCAAACAGCGCCGCAACGATTCGTCACCGAATTAGTGCAAACAAAGGGATGCCGGCACTAGCCCCGGCGAGGCGCCCTGCGAGACCGCCAAAGCCCCCCCCCCCCTGCCCCCCCACACGCCGACTCCATACCCACCCACCGGGCGAGGGGGCACTTTAACGAGCACGACGTTAACGAGCTCTGCCTAACGAGAGAGACCATCACAGCCCCCCCCCCCAACCGTTGCCCCCTTCGCCCCCCTTCTCCCCCGCTGGCAGGCGCGAATTCGCCCACGCGGGCACAGTCGCCCTGCATCACCGCCCAGACACTCATTTGCGCCGAATCTATAAATCACTACCGTTATTATTGTTGTTATTGATTTTGCTGGCAGCCCTTAAAATGTGTTGCGCTCCTAATTAGTGGCGATACCCAATCTGTGAGATTTCGGAGACACAGGAGTGGGGAGGTAAATGGGAACGGAGGGGGAGGGAATAAGCACGCCATTGCACGTGCAAATTAAGTAATTTATAAAGGCAAACAAAGACACAAAAGGGCACAAACAATACGCTCGCAGCACGGCGCGAGACCGGCATTATGCCAAAGCATTTACGCCGTGACGCAAAGCGAACCTCGGCACCGGGGGAGAGGCACCAGCAGGAGGTGGGAAACACGTGCCAAAAAATTAGATAACAAATGTTTCATGGGGAAGCTTTTGCACTTTACAAAAAAATAAAGCAAGGCCGTGCTCCAGAAAGCAAGAACAAGCCACGCCAGAAACGAAGAACACTAAAAAAAGAGAGAGATGGAAGAGACGAGCAGCGGTGGGGAGAGAAGCCGTGGGTGCCTCGGCACAATGAGGCAAGTGTGAGTCACGAGTTGCGTGGGATCGCAACAAGCAGCTCAAAGGGGGGGGGTGGGGGGCTTGAACTTGGATTTAATGGCTTTGAGTTCACTCCAACTACCAACCACCACAAATTAACTTTTTATTGCAGTTTTAAAAAGACCGATTCACACCTCCGGGGTTTCAGTGTTGGTTGGCTGCTTGGAATCAAAACGACAGCATCGTAGTATGCACGTGTAATTAAATACATTCGATGCATAATACCTTGTGCACAGAGGTCAAAACAAAGTGTGTCGTTTTCCAAGCATGTTCGCCGTTTGCACAACAGTTGGGCTAATAATTAAGAATTTGAACTAAGTTATTAGACCAGATTGTCCTTCAATAAGAATTCGTTATGGTTTAAGAATGTAATCCTACTTCTTGCAAAGATGCTTTGGTCAGCACGTAAGGGTAGTCTAAATAAACAACATCTTTCGATTTAAAGCTTTCGTGACTGCAGGGATTCATCTTCTTGGTTCTTTCGGTAAAGTCACGTAGAAGGAAAATAATAAAATAACAATAAAACATAATAAAATACAATTCTCACGACGTTTCAGCCACAACGCAAGCAGCCGTCCTCAGGTGAAGAACAGGTCTGTCGGAAAGCCAGCGTCTGAATGGGATTCATGTCTTTCCGATAGCCCTGTTCTTCACCTGAGGACGGCTTCTTGTGTTGTGGCCGAAACGTTGTGAGAATTGTATTTTATTATGTTTTTATTATTTTATTATTTCCCTTCTACGTGACTTTACCGAAAGAACCAAGAAAACAACATCTTGTTGAGCTCCCTTTAGCGTAGGCCCTTCTGAGCTTAGGCTTGCAAATTGACCCCCCGAAGACCAAACTGCCACCACAAGATGACAGCTCGCATCTTAACAGGCAACTAAACTAAAGCGTTAAAGGAGGCAAAATAATAACAACATCATTCATAATTGTGCTTCCAAAATCTTTAAATGGGTTTATAATGCCAAAATTTAAAGCCAACCGGGGGCGTACTGCAACGAGCCATTAAAATCCGTAAAAAAAAACCGGTGAGAATTCAGGTGGTGGGTGGAGTGACGCGGCTCTGCACGTTTGCCCATAAACAAATTGAGGTTTGCTTTATTGGGCGGATGTGTGGGGGGGTGTTCAGTTAGAAGATTTGCTCGCGCGGTCATGCGTGGGACCTTGTTTTTTGTGACATTGAAGGTTACCCAGGAGAGGAAAGTCCCAGGGGCTGCACCACCACCACCACCACCCACTGTTTCATTCTCAGGGGATGACGTAACCCCCCTTCCCCCCCCCACTGCTTCACCCGTTGGTAGTATAACTGCGTCGGTCAAAGGGGAATGCGAGAGCAGGAGAGCACGCTCGCGAACGAAACCTCGACTATGAACAGCAATTAGGCGATCACAAGTCTCGACAACTGCCCGATTTATTGCCGCTTCGAAAACACCCTAGGAGCAGCCCATTTGCCTAATGAGAGACTACCTTGCCTCTTAACTCATTTAACTAAAAAACAGAAAGTACACTTATAAGTTAACCATAATTTCGCATCATTTCGGAGTTATAATTGAATGCCATCTGTTCAGTAGGAACTTCAACACCGTCGTGACCACCACTTGCAAAAGCCGATTTTCAAAAACTTCAGCACATTTGACTAAACAGCACGCATGACTGGTTTATTTATTTAATTAAATGCTCAGACGGATTTATGAAACTTATATTTTTATAAGCTCACAGTAATCTGCTTTTATTACCAATTAAGAAAAAGCAAAATGGTCTTGGGGCAGGACACACATCTGGACATAATGACGACCGAAAAGACAATTGAGACCGCTGACCAAATGGGCAGCTAAAGGAGCGAATTCGTCTAAAAAGCACGACCACGGCAGGAGATGGAGCGATGAACTCGGCTCATGTGCAGGAGCTATACGAATGGGTGCATCAAAACACCATGAGAGACAGTGCCTGCATGCAGAGGCTTCCATCCAGAAGTGGATAGGCAATCACTGCTGCTGCTGTCACCGCCGCGGATGACGATGGTGTAATCTACACGAGAGCGTTGCCGAGG